ATTTTAGTTGGGATTTGGGTGTTTTAAGTAGGGTTTTGCGGGTCGATGCGGTACTCGCTTCTTGGTCTTTGGCGAACTTACAAGGAAGTCTTCTTAGATCTAAATCATAGGGTCATTCTCCTTTTCTCTTGATTGGGCATGTTATTGATGCCAGAGAAGTGGGTATAGTGAGATTGGGCCGCAAGTTTCTCCCTTGTCGTGGACTCCGAGGATTTGGACATTCCCAGATCGGAAGCTAAGCCATTTTCAATCGGTTGGTCTTCCTGGAGTTTAAGCCTTTCACCACAAGATAGGCATTTTAATTATCGAGGCATATCTTAGAACTGTGAGAGAGCCTGAAGAAAGAGCAAAAGTCCCAGCTTTGACAGATCTCCAGATTCTACCTGGTTCTTTCGGCCATGCCGGAGGAGCAAACGAGGAATACATGCATTACGCAAATGGAAAATACATTTATGTTTCCATGGATGCCTGGCTGTTGGCTGATGGGTTATTAAAGTTTAGTGAGCATGCTATTCCAATTCTAGAAAGAAAGTTGGCAAACCCATCAAGGCTCTTCGAAAAAGCGTCCATTTTCCAGCACCGAGGCATTTATTGGTATCTGGGGTGGATTGCTTCCCTAGTAAATCCATGAAATAAGCACATAATATGCGAATGACTGTCTAGGAACTACTAATGCTATAAAAATCTACTCCTGCATGGAGAAATAAATATACCTGAAGATTAGTATTCTTAGTTTAATTTTGTACATTACTGGGTGATTCTTAGACGGCCATACCTTGTGATAAGTTTTCTCAAGAATTATCTTCCTTTTTTTTTCGCAAATCCTTGCATTGTTTGTAGAACGTAATCAACGTGATCCATCTACAGATTAGAATGCTGTAATCTACCTTTTGAGATTGTGTTATAACTAAAATACCATGCATTTATTATTTAAATCAAATTTGTAAATGGATGCCGTTAGTTCTCTTAAAAGACATCTATCTCTCAGTCATGCGTTCTAGATTCCCACTTCAATGAAGGTCCATCCATATGAGCTGTTGACTTGTTTCTTAATGTGGTGAATAGTATTTATTTCCTTCCTTAGTTCAATGCACTGTTGTAACAACACCTTCTATATGATGTTATGGGCTACCTCATGAGAGTATTTTCTAACTCGCATGTTACAGAATGACATCTTTTCAATTTTCTGTATATTTCAATTTGGAGCCATTTTATATAGCGAACAGGTAGTGCATGTGCAAGAAATACATGCTTGCTTGCTAGCTGTTCAGACTCGTTTTGCTTTTCAATAGAGGTTCTTATAATTTTTCTACTTTCTTCTGGTGATGAGAATTGTTTACTTTGCGTCTAGTATAATGGAACTCATTTGGCTGGAAGCAATATCTTGCAGTTGTGGCTGCTTTATTTTATCATTCCATGTCCTCATTCTAGTTCCTATGTAATTAGCTGTTCTGAAGATACATGAGTCAGAAATCCTTAGTAGGTAGGTCAATCACCTTACATTTGTGGACTATCCCAGAAAAGATAAGTTCGCTTAACAGCAGCTTAGAAATGCCGATATCTCTTGCTCTCTGGCTTGATCCATGGATTCCTTGTTTATTTTACACCTTACCAGCAGTTGTATCCTTTCATACTTTTACTCTGCTGAAGAATGTTATAATCCTTGAATATGGTCCTTATTCAGGCTCATGGTTGTTTCCTTTCATAGATTTACTCTGCTTAAAGCCTTAAAGGGACTCAAATGCTTTAATGTAAAAGATAAGTTTTTTTGTTTTAAATAGAAGTAACCTGCAAGACCAGTCTCTTTTCTAATCCCTAGTTGACAATTTGTTGGAAGCGTCAACTCTCCATAAAAAGAGGTTCAGGCTACACACACACACACACTATATATATATATATATATATATATATATATATATACATATGTATATGTATATACATATATATATGCACACACATACACATACATACATATATGGTCCTGATCCTTTTAGTAGATTCTCGGTAACTTGTTTTTTCTACCATGGAGAAAAGGAAGAAAATTAGTGAAAATTATTTGCATCTAAGTTATGTGTCAATCTCACATGGGTATTCTACTTTGAGAAATTTGCATGCTTCGAATTATTCATGGAAAGAAACAATTTCTTCATTGTATTGAACCCACATCATCAGGCCACATGACAGTAACTTGCACAAACTTTTATAGGTATCATACTGCATGATAATTGTTGTCTGCCACACATTAGTCTTTAGTAGATATATATCCATGACAAAATGTAATGAGGGAAGTGTTTTGTGATATAGGCATTGCCTATCCATGTTGAGTTCATATTACAAGGTCCACATTTTTCCTTCTGCTTCGAATGCTCTTTTGTAGAGACAGTCACCATGAAACTTGCTATTGTCCATCACAAGCTGGACTAAATGCTGGTTGGTGCATAATCCTACCTTTAATTGCAGGTACCGTGCCATCACAAGTGCTTACTACAGGGGAGCTATAGGTGCATTGCTTGTCTATGATGTTACAAGGCATGCTACATTTGAAAATGTTGAACGCTGGCTGAAGGAGTTGAGGGGCCATACAGATCCTAACATAGTTGTGATGCTTATTGGGAACAAGTCGGATCTCCGTCACCTTGTCGCTGTACCAACTGAAGATGGTGAGGCTTATGCAGAGAGGGAATCACTCTATTTCATGGAGACTTCTGCACTAGAAGCAACAAATGTGGAGAATGCATTTGCAGAGGTTTTGACTCAAATTTACCGCATCGTGAGCAAGAAGGCTGTCGAGGCAGGTGATGATGCAACATCTACTGTCCCCAGTAAAGGAGAGAGAATAAATGTGAAAGATGATGTTTCTGCGCTTAAAAGAGTTGGCTGCTGCTCCAGTTAGGTAACTGTTGTGTTGCCACTGCTACTTTCTGTTCTTGATGCCTGTTGTACTTCTTTCCATGTAACCCTGGATCTGTTCCTTTCTTTGAAATTTAGACTATTATTTTTGTATCACTCTATTGTGTTGTTTTGGAAATCAACATGGAATGCTTTATCGGATTGTTCCAGTGATCGATACTGAAGAGAGATTAAGAAGGTTTAGATTCACTATGTTGTTCAGTTTGATGAATGAAATCATCAACCAAGCATTTTTCATACAGTTGGTGCAAACTTAAGCATCCATGAATTTTGTGTAGTTTCTCATTGTGGCAATTTGAAAATCCTGGAATCGACAAAACTGTTGACATTTAGTCTCACTTGTTATCATGAAACAGTTAGTTTTGGAATAATTCTTTATGCTAACACAAACAGAGATCTTTGTGTTTGATAAGAATATGTGAAGCGTTGAATGCAATATAGGTTGTAGAAATGAGATTGTGGTGGATTTTGGGTACAACATAGGTGAAGTGCATAAGAGAAGAATAATCAATACCACATCATAAATCTTTAGATAAATTTGTGGAAGTTGGAGATTACTGATCATTCCCAGAGTATTGTTTTTTTTTTTTTCTATTTGAATCTGATGCTTTTCTTCCGATATAAAGTGAACAAATTTTACATTGTGATATTAGAAGCATGAAGTTGTGGTCAATGGAGTTGTATTTTAACAATTCATACAATCTGAAGGTGATGTTGTCATGAGTGAAGTCCAAAATCCTTTTTCCATGAGTGACATGGTAAAAGAAAACTGTGGAAATTAGGAAGACAACATGTGTTATCAGTCCATAACCCGACCATACTACACTGTAAATTCCTAAATGGATTTTTCATAAACTTTCATCCTGAGTGTATTATTATTAGTTTAGCGTCATAATCTTGGGGCGTTGATTTAGATTCAACAAATTAATGTGTCGGCTATCTTATTAGATTTGTTCGTGATGATACCAAAAGTGACATATTATTATGCATAATGGAATGAGTTGGAGTGTACGCGCTGTATTAAATTTGATTTTAGGTTATATTAATCCATTATGAGGATTTTAAGCTCTTAAATAATGGAAGAATACAACATCCCAAGTTTATTCTCGCATTGAAAATAGATAAAGATTTAAATTAATTTATAAAAATATGATGTATATATAGTTATCAACTTGTACTCTTACATTTAAGGTTAGTAGTTCAAACTATTAAAAAAGAGAAAGGTTGGATCAAGTCCTGATAATATTACTTGTAAATATAATTAGCATTAATTTTCTTCTTATATACATCCCTTGGATCCCATGGAATTTTGCCACTTGAGAGCATGAGGTAAAATTTCAGAAGCTAATTATCAGATGTTCACCAAGGTTTCTCATCATAGAATGTGTTCAGTCCAAGTGTTGGAAGATAATTTATGATATGATATCAAGTTAATTTGTTTCAGGGTCTATATATTGATTCTTTTGTGTTGTAACATCTGATTGCAGCACCCAATTCTGGTGGTCGTCAAGACAAAGATACTGTGTGGATTCTCTCCACTAAACTAAGCATGGCAGCAAAAGCTATGACTAAATAGCAAAAGAAAGACTCGGAAGTGTCGGGACTGAGACACTGGTGATCATAGGATCCTCCGGTCTTTTACCTTCCATTTGCATCAGCGGATCACGCGCAAGCAATCCGACAAGCCGCACTTACAAAGGAAGAGAGCATCGGATTCGCTGTCACCGCTGACCACGCCGTCAAAGTATGAGCACTCTCGCTTCCCGTCCCTCTCACCCATGCTCAGATCCCACTCTCGCTCCGTCTCTCAAGATTCTTTTGGATGAGACGGAGAAAGAGACTCAAGAGAGAGAGAGAGAGAGAGAGAGAGAGTAGTAATCTTTCGCTAAACAAAGGTTGAAAGAAAAAGGCAGCAGTGGAGCTACAGGCAATTGGCTTTTCTTTTCAGGAGTCAAAGCTTTTACTGTTTTGGTCTTTGTCTGTACACGCCTACTTGGTGTTCCGGATGATCAAACCTAACTCACCCTCTAACAAAGAGAGAGAGAGAGAGAGAGAGAGAGAGAATGGCCAAAAGAGAAGAGCACAAAATGTAAGAAAAAGAAAGCTGCAGCATTACATAAAATAACAAAAAGAAGGCACCATTTCCAACACCCTGCAATCATCCAACTCTTTCTCTTCTCAACCTTCTCTGTCTTCTTCCTCCTCGCCATCATTCTGCGACGTGACTCCGCAGCACGCCCCTCCTCCTCCTCCTCCTTGATGTTTCTTTAAGAAATCTTCCAGTGGATTCAATTACAAGTAATATTACATGACGCATTTCGTCGAACAGTATCTACAAATGAAGCAACAGAGACACGACAAACTCACAAAAGCTAAAAGAGTTCTTTCAGCTCCCTCTCCCAACACAGACAGATCCGAAAGAGCTCTGCCAATCGAACATCACTGTTCGATCCTTTTCTATGCATTTTGATTTCGACATCAGTTCTGATAAGAATCCAAACAGAAATGATCAAACTTTGCTGACGATTGCTTCCGCCGATCTCCCCTCTCCGGGATCGCTCCTTGATCGCGTCAGCGGCGACTCCGAATCTGCACACCGAGTTGACCCGGTCGTCGTTAGAATAGGTTTCATGTGTACTGTGCACCGAGTGTGACCGGAACCGGAAGCGATCGTACGTACCTCCGTTGAAGGATCGCTTGCAGTGGGCGATGGCGCTCTGAATCCCGTCTTGCTGTTCCAGGAGCGAGTCGTCCCGCCTCTCGGGCGCCAGTGTTGGCGATCGGACCGATGCGACGGCCGCCGATGCCGACCGGCTCTTTCTTAGGCTCCGGTACGCCACCTTCCTCCCCGCCGGGAGGTTCACGTCTTGCGACTTTAGGGATCCCTTGAAGCTTGTCGCGGCTGAAGCCGGCTCTTTCAGCTGGTCACCTCCCCCACCCGCCTCTCCGCCCTCCCAGGCCGGCCGAACCTTCCCGGCCCCGCCGGAGCTCCGCGGCCCGGAGAACCGGAGCTTCTCGCCGTACCGCCTCGAGATCCTGATGTAAAGCGGCTTAATTTTGCTAAGACACCTGCGGAGCACGTCTCTGGGGAGCTTCCTCTCGTCCGACGCCGGCAATTCGTCGTCGGCGTAATGCCGCACAGATCTGCTGCTGCTGGAGCTCCTCCAGCTGTTGTTCCTGGTGAAGAGCGACGCCAGCGACACCTCCTCCACCTTGAACTTGACAAAGAATTTGTTTTGGTGCTGCTGCTTTGGGGACGCTGACGACGTAGCGGGTGAGGCGCCAGGGTTGAGCTCCGACGACGTCGACTTCGACCTCCTGTGAAAGCCCAGCTTAAAGACGCGGAACCTGGCAGCAGATTTGAGAAGGAAGGCAGGGGCTTGAGGCTTCGACGACTTGGGCAGCTCGGAGGCATCGAAGTCCCTCAACGAAGAAGGCCCGAGCGGGACGAGCTCAAAGAAAAGGCCGTCGGAAGTTAAGATTGAGGGGACAGGGTCGCGCCGGAGGCTGCCGCCGTCCGGGGGCGCTGTGAGGCCGAACCCCTCCTCCGCCGCCTTGCCCGCGTTGGAGGAAAACCGCCGTTTCTCCCGTCTGAGGACTTCGTCCCCCCGCAGTGGCACGGCGAACTCAATGTCGAAGAAGGGCCCATCGTCATCACTGCCGCCGGGGACGACGTCGTTGAAGTCTTGATCGCTGACGTTGGTGGTGATCGTAGTGACGGCGCCTCCGCCGCCGGGCTTACCATGTGTGAACAGTCTGAGGAGCTCCATGCAGCCTGCCTGTGTGACTTGTGTGAGGTGTTTCTCCAAGGCTTTTAAGGGGGTTTGGCTCGGAGAAGGTCACGCGAAGGGGGAGTCGCCTGCGTTTGTGCCGCAAGCAACAGCGGTAATAGTAGCGGTCGCGTCGCAGTTTCCACGGAGGACCAAAAAATTGGAGCGTTTCTTTGACTTGAGCCGGAGGTCTACTGAGCACATGGCAGAACGCTCTCAGAGAAGCTTCTATACGCCAACATCATCCACCCTTCATTTCTCTTCCAAAAGACGACTACGATGAGATCAAATCACAAGCGTGTCCAAATCTTAAAGCGATAAAAATTGGAATCGTACCGTAGGAGAAGGTAACGATAACAAGAACGACAGGATCTCAGAAATCATGTTAGGATTTAAGCTCCATCTACACGTATCTAAACGAATCTGTACGGGGAGGAGATGACAAAGCGGCGTTCGAATACTAAATCTTCTGGCTCGTACCTGAGCCTGATGAGCGAAAACATAGATTATGGAGAGAGGGCAGGGCAGGGAGGTCGATCGGCCTTCTCGTCGCGTGCGCTAAAGGTAGTGTGAGCAAAAGAAGACGGAAAGAAAGGGAGGGTGGGGAAGAGGAAGTTGTTCTTGGAAATGGGTGATGATGATCTGATCTGGGTGTGATGCATGTGCCGCAGGAAGCTTCGGCCAAAGTGGAGCGGCGGAGCGTCCGTATGCAGTGGTGGAGTGGGGTGGGGGGAGGGGGAGGGGTTGCTTTGCAGCTTTCTTCTTATCCTTCTTCTTCTTCTTCTTCTTCTCCTTCTTCTTCTCTTTTGTTTTCGGGGTGGATGAGGAATGATGGCAGGGAAGCCGCAGATGTTATCATCATGCCACTGATCTCCAGTTTCAGGTTTTGGTACGATTAGCGCACACTCAGGTGAAGCCACTGAAGGAATTATGATGACGACGATGATGATGAAGAGCAATGGGCTGCTTCTTTCTTTAATGAGTTGTTGGGGACAGCGGCGCTGTCTCTTAGTACTGAGATCATATGGATATACATGCGTACAGTATGTATGTTGGATGGAAGAAAGCAGCAGAGAATATGGATTGCTTCTCATGTGTATTCGAGCTTGTAATTAAAAGCAGACTCCACCAACAACAGTTCAATGCTCCTTTTATCTTCGAAAAGTCCAATCAAAGCAGCTTCACGGAGAAATCCATGCCTGCAGGCCTCTGTGGGAGAAAGAAAGAAAGAGAGAGAGATTACATGGTCTGAGTCAAAGTGAACCTCAGGTCAGGTCTATAGGGAGTTTCACCACAAGGGCTACTTGTCCCTGTGGGGATCAACATTGACTATGGAAACCAAGTGATAGGAATTGAATACAGGAGGGATATGGAAATGGAGTGGGAGTATACATTAAAGAAACTATGAGACCAGAAAGAACGTAGTCATATGCTCATCAACTCCTTTTGAAAAGGTCTCATCAGAGCATCACGCCACAATCAATTTAGCAATGAGCCCACCATTACCCCATCTCTCACACACACACGCAAGAGAAAGAAAAATAACAATAGAAAAAAGAAAGAAAAGTACGATCAAATTATATTAAAAAAAACACTTCTTTAAAACTTTGATCATTAAATTTTATCCACACTGACACTATGCAAAAGTCTAGTAATAATAAGCCTTAGTGGAATCAGTCAAAATTAACTTATGTTAAATATCAATTAAAATCATTAGATTATATGCCATACTTAGTATACGTAACATAACTCTTTCAATTATTAGTGACGTAAGATTATTTTTGAAGTCTATCTCATTTTATCTATACTTACCAACTTTTTGGAAAGTTTTACAAGTTCGCAACCCACAAAAATACAGGTTTGGTCAATCAACTTAATTCAAGTCAGACCCTCAACCTCTCTTATTAAATTAGATTTTAATATTTTTTTTAAAATATTAAAAAATAATTCAAATGTATAAATAAAATAATTTAAATTTATGATCTTAAATTTAAAACTAACTAAATCATAAAAATTCATCCATAATTCTTGAAATATAGATATGTCTAATTAAATAAATTAGAACTATTATGTAATCTAAAACTAAAAATTTTAATAATTAAATTAATTTTAAAAAAATTTAAGCGTAGGTGATCATTATAAGTTAAATAATCATTCAAACATCATAAATCGATTATCATCATAAAATTTTTAAAATTTAAAATATAATACAAAATTAATTATACTATAATAAAGTATCTTATCTCACCTTGGGGTCCTTTTCTCAAAGAATACATTCCTCAATCTTTCACTATCAAACTTAGTTAAAAATGATAAAACAAGAGCCTCCGAGAGAAGATGAGCTCTTTCCAAAAGATAAATAATAATAATTTATATTTTACTTTCATAATACCGATTTCCGACTTATATTTATATTATATGTGAGGAAAAGGATTTTATACATGAATATTAAATTGATATGTTTTTTTTTAACCCAAGCATGTATTAAATAAATTTTGAATTGACAATACAAGTCTATATATGTCATAGGATGTTAATTTTAATTGATGACACTTATAGGGTTGATAGCGTTCCATATGTTTGTCACCACCTAACCAAGCTTTCATGTACACTAAAAGAAATCGTTCAATCTCTCACTAAAAAAAAAGAAAAAGGGCAAACGAACGTGACATGTTTAAGTTCCAACAACAGTTTTGTCATACTTATAATTATAATCAAATGTTGTGCATCATAACTTTCTGGTCCGTCGGTGGTGATATGATGTCCCATCGAGAAATTTTAATGTCTCCTTGTACATGTAGCATCTTTTTCGTATAGCTTATAGTTGAACTATATTCACAATGCCTTTGTAGCATAATAAATTACTTGCACTAACACATTATACGATCGTTGTTATCGGTTTGATGTTGATGATTAGTCAATTTATCACCGAGGTTCCAACTCTCCATCTAGATTAAGTATGTCTCATATCTATATTCCGGATTAGCTTTAGCTTGGGTTAAATTTATTTAGCTACTTGATTAAGCATACGATAACCTACGAAAAGAACTTATCTGATTTTTAGAAATTAACATAAAATATCGTATGTTGGTGTGAATGTCAAAAAATTCAAAGAATATAAATGAAAATTATATTGGTGATAGTAACAGCTGAGAGATGGATGAGTCGTACTTAACCATCTCATCGATTGGCTTCTTTCTCAGTCACCTTTATTGGTTGGCTTTTTGTACGTTCCAAACGAAGTGCCTTATGTGCTTGACTGTTGACTTTTCTTCTTCGTGGATTGCTCGATTTGTCTAATGTCTTTGGATGCTTTCCACATGTAAAATTCCAACGCTTCTCCAATCATTCGTTCTTTTTGAAGCACTACCTCTACCACTATCACTTTTCTTTTCAAAAGCAAATTCCTTTTAACTTGTTGATTTAAAGTGTCATTATACTTAAACTATTTTATTAGGTTTATAATATATTTTTTGTCTTTTACCTTTTGATTTTTATTTTTTTGTCATGTTCCATTGTATATTCCTGCACTAAATACTAGAAATAAAATAGGATGTATTCTCTAAGAAAACTAAAATTTTTAAATAGCACCCTATTTTTAAATTTTATTTTCTCAAAGTATGTTTTTTAAAAATTGATCATTTTACCCTTGTCGACTACTACCTTTGCCCTATCGGTCAACCCTTCTCACCCGTTAACCTTTGCTCACGGTCTATTTCTCACCTGTCAGTTTTTATCGTAGTCGACTACAACCCTTACATAAAGAAGAAGGGGTCATTCGTCGAAACTTGCACCGACGTTCATCGACGATGAAAGAGGAAAGACGAATCTAACAAAAATCAATAGGATCTGCAATAGTAATAATGAGGGCTAAGGTACGATTATGATTTGAGTTTTTACGAAGGTTATCGATGAATTTTTTAAAAATTTTGAGTGATAAATAATATTTTTAACACAGCTAAAAGTTATCTATCAAAATTTTTTAAAATTAAAGGATTTAAAAATTAATTAAAATTTTTTTTCCAAAAATTCACCCAAGAAAATAACTCTGCTGTGCGCAGATGGACGCATGTGTCGTTTTGCGTCTACCCATCGCCTCCGACCAAATAAGATGGCACCAGATTCCTCTTGCGCCCTTCGTCTCTCCTCACGCGTACCAACTTCGCGTCCGAGTTTGTTGTCCTTTAGTCCTTCATTTCCAACATCCGAACACGAGTCACATGTCACCGCGCACACACATAATATTAAGCACCTAAAGCCCCCCTCGCACTCGGCCCGCACCAACTCCGTCGCAGCCGCCATGGCCTCCACCCTCGGAGCTCGCTCCCTCAACCTCCCAACCTCATCCAAAACCACACAGACCGCCACATCCTCTCTGATCCCACTGAGCCAAAGCCCCTCCTGTACCAGAGGTAATCCCCCCAAATTGGCTTCAACGCCCGCTCGACGCCAACTCTCTCTTCCAACCACACGCATCAGTGCTACCCTCTTCTCTGCACCGAAGCCTCCTAGTGATTCTGGGCCAAGTACTCTCCTCTCCTCCTCTTTGTGTAGGATTTGGGGTTCTCTTCGGTTTTAGGTCTTTGTTGACGAGGTGAAGGCTTCAGATAAGGTACAGGAGCTGTGCGTGTATGAGATCAACGAGCGCGACCGCGGGAGCCCCGCCTACCTCCGCCTGAGCCAGAAGGAAGTCAACTCCCTCGGCGATCTCGTCCCCTTCAGCAACAAGGCGAGCCGGAGCTCCTCGGCCTCGTCGTTTCCATGCGCTTTGGATCTTGGTATTGACATCGTCTTCTTCTTGTGTGTGTGGAGTAGTTGTACTCGGGGAATCTGGAAAAGCGGGTGGGCATCACGGCGGGGATCTGCGTGCTGATCCAGCACGTTCCGGAGAGGGGCGGCGACCGCTACGAAGCCATCTACAGCTTCTACTTCGGCGACTACGGCCACGTCTCGGTGCAGGGGGCGTACCTGACCTACGAGGACTCTTACCTGGCCGTGACCGGCGGCTCCGGCATCTTCGAGGGCGTCTACGGCCAGGTCAAGCTGCAGCAGATCGTCTTCCCCTTCAAGATCTTCTACACCTTCTACCTCAAGGGGATCCCCAACCTGCCAAAGGAGCTGCTCGGCACGCCGGTGCCACCTTCTCCCACCGTCGAACCCACCCCCGCCGCCAAGGCCGCCGAGCCCCACGCCGCCGTCAAGAACTACACCAACTGACGACGGTCGGTGAGCGCGCAGGCCGCAGACGAAATAATGACCTCATCGCGACGCGAGTCGAGTGGAGGTGACTGTGGACGGAGGAGATATCCCCTTTGGAAGTGTATTGTAATTGCTGTGCTTCATTGGTCTTAGTTATGCTCTATATAATGTAGCTCATAACAAAAACAATAATGCTAAATCCGCGTATTGAATATGAATAGCAAATTGGTGACACAATAACCCAAAAATGCATCGCCGTTGCCGGGGATCGAACCCGGGTCACCCGCGTGACAGGCGGGAATACTCACCACTATACTACAACGACTTCTTGATTATGTTTTATGATTATATTTACTTAAAACTAAAGTAATATGACATGTCCCACTCTCCATCTCTAGTGTTTTCTTCGTAGAATTCAGAGGCTGATTTCAACCTGTTACCAACTCTCAGTCATGTCCTCCTTATCTTTCATTCATGAGTTCCCCTATCCGTTTGCTGACACATGTATCATCTTTTATGACCGCCAGCCGACCATTTGAGAATTTTCAACGCATTTGAAATCCATCACCTGGTTGTTCAACAACCAGAGGAGTATGGGGGACATCATCTTCTCGGTCTGCTTCTTTACTCAGGTGCATATGAAGTTAAATACCGAATTCCTGATATCTCTCATTCGAACACCTGCGAAGAATCCGTGGTCTCACTGCATGGCTTCCCTATACTTCCCTGGTTGTTCTCTCGCCATGCTCTGTCTAGTCTTCCCTGTGCTACACCATTGTGTGGGAGATTACGTACCTCTTGCTTCCATGCTTTTGGCTGGCGACAATCAATCATGGGTCTCTGAGAACAAGGTCTTCGCATTTGGATTCGCTCCGACTTCTGAAGGTACTGGTGATGAATTCCTCTTGGCAATATGGTATGTCAGTCTTCCTGGTGATCCTACTATAGTGTGGTCTCCTAACAGGTAGCTTTATGATCTCGATATCCTCTTTCTTCTGCAATGCACTTGTGGCCTGAGAAGATTTGTGCTGGCATCACTTGCAGAGACTTTCCGGTGGGGAGAGATGCGGTGGTGAAGCTGGACTCTTCTGGAGAACTCGTCCTTGTCGATGGCAACACCTCGATGTGGACATCCAATAATTCCCATTTGAATGCGAACTGTGGATTGATGTCGGACTCGGGAAATTTCATCTTGTACACAGGCGGCAGCAGCGACCGCCGAGCGGTGTGGCAGAGCTTCTCTCATCCCTCCGACACCCTCTTGCCCGGCCAGCCTCTCTCGGTCGACCTTGAGCTCACATCAGCCATGTCTCCACTCGGTTACTACTCGCTCAAAATGCTTCAGCAGCGCACTTCCCTCAGCCTCGGCCTGACTTATGTATCCCCAACTCCGTCATTAGCATCTCATACCAACTACTCTTACTGGTCCAGTCCGGAGATATCCAACGCCACAGGCGATGTCGTCGCTGTGTTGGATGAATCCGGCAGTTTTGGCATCAGCTACGGCACATCTTCAGCTGGTACGATGTACGTCCACAAGAACGACACCGGAGGAAGCCAATCCGTTCCGCGTCGAGTGACGGTTGGGATGGATGGAAATCTTCGTCTCTACCGATGGGACAGCAATGGTGTGGCGACGAACTGGGTGGTCGAGTGGTCTGCCGTGTCGAATCCATGCATGGTGGCAGGAATCTGTGGTAGCGGGATCTGCATCCTGGATTCCAACAAGAACAGCGCAAGTTGTAGATGCTTGCCGAGAACGTACCCGGTGGACGTCGGGGCCAAGGGTTGCTTGTCAAGCGTGCCGCCGTCAACACCAGCGAACTGCACTGAGAACAGGAAGACTCCGGTCAGAATGGAGATGATGGCACAAACCAATTACTACTTCTCTGGAGCTTCAACGATCTCGAACTACAGTGGGGTGTCGAAGGCTTCGGAGTGCGCTGAACGTTGCCTAGCAGACTGCGAGTGTGTGGCGTCAGTTTATGGGCTGCAAGAGGAGAAGACATACTGTTGGACGTTGAAAAGCATGGTATTTGGAGGACTACAGGATCCGAGTTCAACTCTTTCCGTGAAGGTTGGGATCAACAGTTCAGGGACAGGGGAATCAGGATCGGCAGGGCAAAGTCCTGGTGAATCATCGTCGGGCCACCATGTTCATGTGCTGCTTGTGCCTTTGCTTCTCTGTCTCACTCTTCTGGTTGTGCTCTTAAGCATGCTGTTATTTTACAGCATGCAGAGAAGGAGAAGGCAACGACAGCAGAGAATGATCGGCAACTGTATGAGCCTCTCAGGAGCTCTTTCACATTTCAGCTTTCATGATCTGCAGACTGCCACATCCAATTTCTCTCGATTGCTTGGAACAGGTACCTGCACACTAGTAATGAATATCTCAATTCAGCATGCAAGGAGAGAGTTTGATGCTTCAAAGCTTTTACTATGACATACTAATCCCTGTATTTTGCTGATATTTGTTCACAGGAGGATTTGGAAGTGTGTACAAGGGAGTTCTCAGAAATGGGACTATGATTGCAGTAAAGAAACTAGATAAGCTGTTACCTCACGGGGAAAAGGAGTTCATAACAGAAGTCACCACCATTGGCTCCATGCACCATTTGAACTTGGTCAGCCTCTGTGGATTTTGCTCCGAGCAATCGCATCGGTGAGTGTCCCAACCCATCTTTTTGCTTCTGCAGTAGAATTAGCGTTCAACAGATCTTTTATCTTCTTCTTCTTGCGAGCAGGCTTTTAGTGTATGAGTATATGAGCAACGGGTCGCTGGATAAGTGGATATTTCCATCAGCGCAGGACAGGCTACTGGACTGGCGAACTCGCTTCGACATAGCCATCGCCATTGCTCAAGGGATCGCATACTTCCATGAGCAGTGCAGGAATCGGATAATCCACTGTGACATCAAGCCGGAGAACATTTTGTTGGACGAGAACTTCTGCCCCAAGGTATCAGACTTCGGACTGGCGAAGCTAATGAGCAGGCAACACTCGCATGTAGTCACCACGGTGAGGGGCACGAGAGGCTACTTAGCTCCAGAGTGGGTGAGCAACCGGCCCATCACCGTCAAGGCCGACGCTTACAGCTACGGGATGCTGCTCCTGGAGATTGTCGGAGGACGCAGGAACCTCGACACGTCTCTCGACGAGAAAGAGTTCTTCTACCCTGGTTGGGCTTTCAAGGTACTCCCACTCCCAGCATCCTGATACGACAAAATCAAATTACATGACCGAACTTGTGATTCAATCTTGCAGGAGATGATGAATGGGACGCCTACAAACGCTGCGGACAAAAGATTCAAGGGGAATGTGGAAGAAGAGGAGTTACTAAGAGCACTCTGTGTTGCTTTTTGGTGCATCCAGGAGGACGCATCGGTAAGGCCTTCCATGGGGGAGGTGGTGAGGATGTTGGAAGGGGCAGTTGCTATCGTAGCGCCTCCCATGCCGCAGGCGGTGGTGGAGTTCGAAGAAGAAGGTCTGCACAGAGTCTACAGAGCAATGAAAGGGATTTACTATGATCTGACATCGTCTTCCTCTGCAATGCCTAGCTACAGATCATCGAAGGCCACGTGTAGTCACTCCGCCATGTCACCGAGATAAAAGGACTCCAATATAGTGGAATTAAAATGAAATGAAAAGGATAACGCACTACCATGTGAATGGGTCACCTGCACGCCACGTGAGAGACACGTTAATCCTTTTTATCGGTTTTTCGTAATAAATAATTAAATAAATAGAATTTGCCTGCCATGCCTCTCTCTTCTCGTTCTCTTGTTTGCCCAACTGCGTTGAGAGGGACGACTCGGAGAGCGGCGGAGGAGAGGAATCCGAGAATCTGCTGCCACAGGTAGCTCAAGTTAGTTTCTCCTTCGCTCGATCGCTTCTTTCTAATTTATTCCTCTTTCTTTTTCGTCGACCTACTTTTCGCCGTTCTGTTCTTTCGGGTCGGTAGTATTGCTTGACGGGGGATTTGGCGGGATCAGGACGAGGTCTTCGGCCATGGCTTCCAAGCGGATTCTCAAGGAGCTCAAGGATCTCCAGAAGGACCCTCCCACGTCATGTAGCGCAGGTATCTCGGGGTCCGATGCCTCCTCCGCTCCTCCACCCTATCATCTCGATTGTGGTTTTGCTGTTGAATCCTGATCGAAAAGTTATTGTCTTGCTGGTTTCCGGTGCTTGGATTTTTTGCGTCATACAAGTCATGACTCGATTCCTCAGATCGGAAAGGGGATTGGTTTGGATGTATGGTTATTTATGGTTGGGCTCATCTTAAATGGATATGAGCTTTTTAATTTGCTTGGCAAATAGAACAAGGTTACTACGGAAGTTATCTAGTGTGGCTTAGCTGAAAAGTCCACACATTTCAATTGAAATGGGCTAACACACAAAAGAACCCATGCAAGAGACGCAAAACGGAGAGCCCATATAAGCAGAACGTAGGCTTCACCGCCGTCCAAGTGCAGTATGATAGTTGAGTTGTGGTGTGGAAAATAGAGAGTCCGATCATTCGTGTTTGTTAATAATATTCATATAAGCTTTCCTGCATTTTACTGCTTATTCATATATTCCAATAATCATTCAGAAAGACTTAGCTAGCTAATTGGTAAAGATCTTGACCTTATCAATAGGATCTGGGATCAAATCTTGTCTTCGACACTTATCTTTGTCAAAAGAAAAAAAAAAAAAGGTTCTTAAACCGTATTGTGTCTGCAAATGCCATACTAACTGTTAAAAGCTTGATCGATTTCTATTTTTGAAAATGTATAAAAGAAAATACTCTTAAAGTCGGTGGAACTCTTCTTTAGGGATGCCTTTGTCAAGTCATATCTGTCACTTTTTGTGCAACTTAGTTCATTCTTTAATGATTGACTTATAATAACCAATTTTTTTAACTTAATGTTGCTGCATATACCTTAACTTATTTCTATCATCTTTGTTTTTCAGTGTTTGGGTACTGTTACTTGTAGATTTAAAGTTGATAAAGCATGCTATGTATGCCACATATTAAAATATGCTAGCATACTCTGCAAATGTGGTTGGTCACTGAGCTTGTTAAGTTCTGGAATCATGCCATTGTACTAAGCCTAACAACCTGTATCTGGATTTAGATGATGATCTATTATTTGATAGCAATGTTTTGTATGCCTTGGCATTTTACAGGTCCAGTGGCTGAAGATATGTTTCATTGGCAAGCAACGATAATGGGCCCACCTGACAGTCCATATGCAGGGGGAGTCTTTCTAGTTACCATACACTTCCCTCCAGATTATCCATTCAAACCACCTAAGGTATCATTAACACTAAATATGTAGAATTAGAGTGTTTTTTTAATACTTTGTCAAGCCTGCCATAAAATTTTCTTTTGGCATTCATTATATAGTTTCACTGTGTAAAGCATTCTCCTATTTGACAACCTCTTAAATATGAGCATATTCTTGGAAATTAATCGATAATTCAATTTGTGTATTGACAGTCTACTATGTTTGCTATTACATAAATGCCATTACATCATCTGTACATTCAACCAATTTACTTCTGTTCAACATATTGTTTATGTATATAATATATGGGAAGTAATTCAAGCTGCACACAAACAAGCTAAGCCATGATCAAAATAACAACTGAAGATTCTGTTTGGAGAACTTGAGCTTTGGTTTAGCTATAATTTGAGACTTGTGACAAGTTCTAACATTAAGCTTGACCAAATGACGTCAAGCCAGATCCAAGCAGTTTGAAATTTTTTTAGCAGATGGAATATGATATAATTAAATGCTTTATGCAAATATCAGTCACTAAATCGTACTTTCATAGAAATTGTACTTTCATAGCTGAGTTAATTATCAGTTGTTAAAGGTTTTAACTGCTAATGAAATTTAATAGAATCTGTCTTATGTGAGAATCTGACAATGCCGTATACTAGGAAAAGAGAATCTGATGACACTATGATAGGAAGCAAAGATGATTATGTATGATACTCTTCAAGAAAAAACTGTACAAATATAGATGACTTCTTTTAAGTATATACTTTGTCTTTTTATTTTTCAGAATTAACCCAGTAAATTGATTCAGAGACGCAGAAAAATTATTGAAGGAGGCCTTCTTTCTGTGGTTCGGATCGACAGCCATCTTAGTGTAGCTTGTTTGCACTTTAAAAGGTTCTTGCAGTGTACTCAAGTTCTTTATCTTCATTATGAAAAAGAGTGACTTTATTTTTTGCAACTCTGAATTGATTTAATTTTTAATTCACTATGCCACCTGAGTCATCGTGACTTAGGTGTTGTTGAAGATATTTAAAAGTCTGGAGAATGAGGGAGGATTAGAGTTTGCCCATCATGTAAACCTGTTTATTTATTGTTTCTTGAATAACAGATGTTTTTAGGTGGCTTAACAGTAGTTGTGTTTGGTTGAAATTAGTATTATGCCTCAAATCTTTTAAAGTCTGTTTTTCACCCTTTGCTTGTTTTGGAATTATGGACAATGGCAAAAGTTTTCATTTGCACTAGATAGAGAGAGAATGGAGAGGATAGGAAGGCAGGTTGAGTTTCCCTTTTCATTTCCCAGACTTTTCTCTGTGAACGTCAATTTTTTCTGAAATTTGAAAATAATTTTTCTACCTTGTTTAAAGGTAGAAAAATGATTTTAACACTTCCAACTTGAGTAACCAGATGTACCCTACTTGTTTAAAGGTTTAATTTGTTCTTTGGACAATCAAAGAATGTTTCAAATTTTCCTACTTGTAAAAATTGGTTATAATATCAAATTTCCAACTTATCATGTTTGTGTTCTGCAGGTTGCTTTTAGGACTAAGGTTTTCCATCCAAACATCAATAGCAATGGAAGCATTTGTCTTGACATCTTGAAGGAGCAGTGGAGTCCAGCATTAACCATTTCCAAGGTTGCTTTTCCACCTTCCACTGTAGTGATTTTATTTACCATGTTATATACTCAAGCATTTGCAATTCGTTTTTGAGTGGTCAGATTAAGAAGAGCTTATACTAAATCAAACAATTCAAATGAAGTTGTATTGTCACGAATTTAGTCGATCTTGCCTAAGTCGTGCGGTACCCTTACGTGTCCGTCCGCAAAGGGTCAACATCTCCTAAATCTCTTATAGTCCCTTAAGGACCTACAAAAGAGAAGACGAGTTAGAGAATGAGCTTAGCTCAGGATTCATAAGCATCCATTTCAGCAAACGGTTGATAGACAATGCAAATTACAAATATAGACTTCGCAAGCTTTGAATAGTCGTGCGACGAGGGATCCAAGATGGTCCGCCACAGACCCAAAGTCCCTATAGGTGCCCACATGATACTGCTGTGAAACAAGACAACGAAATAACCCTACACAATACCCCAAAGGCCCATCCGGCCATGTGCCACCCGGGTAGCTCCTAGGTGCTGTACTGGCTAACACTCTGCACCACTCTATGGAGCTAGAAAACCTCCAAAATGACTATTTGGATGGTTTGTTTTTGGCCAGTTTTGCCTCTGTGCAACGACTGCATACAACTTGCGTTACAAGTTTGAAATGATCACAGAAGCTAAATAAACTAGGGCTGTCAAACCCTCTACATGGTGTGCAAAGTATGAACAAAATCGAAAGACATGAATATACATGAGCATAACATCGAACAACCCGTGTACAGCTATGTCCATGATAGCATGGTCAATATTGCTAATTCACCGTATTAATGGAGAGAACTGCATTGGTCTAAGTCACAAACTCACAAGGGCAACCTTGACCTTGACTAGGAGATCTCAAGTGAAGCCAATCTTTGATATATGGTTGTGTCCCAATATGATACATGTCTGTGTGACCATCTGGTTGCTTGTTGTGCAAATCCATTTGGTCGATCTGTAGCCGTTCAGTTGCTGATCAGAGTTGTCAAATCAGGTCTGATTGGTTCATTTGAGTTGAGTTGGTCAAGAAATTAAGGACTCATGTCTGTCAATTTGCATCTTTTGCTTGCATCAACCGAAATTAGCTATAAACTTGAATCCCTTTTGCCCTTTTGAGTTCTTTTCATAACCTTCTTTTGCCCATGCAAGTTAAATTGAGCGAGCATTGTTGTTTCTTTCTACAGGTGCTGCTGTCAATCTGCTCCCTGTTGACGGATCCAAACCCAGACGACCCATTGGTTCCGGAAATCGCCCATATGTACAAGAACGACAGGGCCAAGTATGAGAACTCTGCAAGGAGCTGGACCCAGAAGCATGCAATGGGCTAAACTGTTAATCTTGCAATGAGGTTGTGTTTTGTTGTTTGCAAGAGTGAAGTAACCCACGAATCTGTCTGTCTTTTAACCTACCCAAATACGAAGTGGATATTGTTTTCATTCTTATTTATATCTGAACTACAAAACTCTCTTCCTTAGCTGTGATTTTAGTCAAAGAAAATATGTTGAAGCATGCAGGTTTTGTGCAGGTCATTAGAAAGAAAAAAATGCATGCGTCAGCAGATGCTCCTCTTGTCATCATACTTTGTATGTCATCTTCTAAAGTTTTAATAAAGAACTATTACTCGTGAACAAGCATAAAATAAAAAACAAAATCTGTTATTTCTTATAAAGTCAAGAGTGAATTTTTTTTTGGATATTACTTTCGTGCTCTTGATAAATTATATATCATTATTGATTGTGATCTTCTCTTCTGTTGATATCATTATTGATTTGGACGGTAAGTTTGCGAGGGGCGTATGATTTGCATAGTTAGTACTTTCTTAGTTCTCACATCCTCTTGCTTGTTGATTGTCCCTGTTTGGGTGAGACTAGCTTAATTGATTTGGATTAAGGTAAATAAGTTATTGAGAGTTAGAGATTTATTTGATCAAATAGGATTTCGAGTCTTCAAGATGTTTAAATCGGCCTTAATCATACATATCATGCAATCCAACCCTAGAAGATCCCTGGCATACTAATCTTATAAAAGCTCATGGATGTTTATGTCACCATAATTTAATTTTCTAATTAGAAGAAATGTTATATATCGGTTCGATTCTTGATTTAAATCAAATCATGATCAAGTCTACTAAGATTATGGTTCGACTTTGATCGGTTTAGTTTTCTATTTAAATCGAACCGAGGTTACATGCACCAAATCCTAAAACTTAGAAATCCAGACTTAGACCACAGAGAGAAAACGAATAGAATGAATATTATAGGTTTACAGCAACCATATATCAGCATAAGTTTTGTGACATCAGACTCTGCTAATGAAACCTTCTCTCCATAGGTCACAGATTCACAGCAACCATTTCTGCAAGGATGGGTTGCATGAAAATTGGAACTGTAGAAGAGGAATAATTATTTCTACCATGCTCTGTTTGCTGGTTTCACTCCACTATAGAATGAAGGAACTCTTGAGACTTGGATGAGGATTGTTGTCGTCTCTTAAACCCGACTTTAACACGGCTAATTCTCGAAGCTGCTGTCTCTTATGATAATCATGTGATTCATCCTGTAAAGCAAAAGATTTATGATAACCGAATAACTCTAAGAAAATAGGCACTAACTTGGAAGTACTGTAATCAAAACTAGTATTGTGAATCTCTTATTTCAAATTCCATAATGTTTCAGATCAGAACTTTTCAGGAGGTCATGATAGTTCCTTCTCGTCGAAATCCTCTAACAAATTTCAATCTGTATAAACTTTTTTTTGGACTAGCATAAAAGACAACCTATGATGCTACGATTAATGTCTGAAAAAAGCTCAAGAATAGGTATTGTTTAAGGAGTGCCTCTATGGAAGCTCATATGTGATATACAACATGGCTAAGAGATGCTAACTTCGAGGGGAATCGATCGAATGAAATATTTTCTGAGAAGTACCCACCACAGGTTTCAACAGCTCTTCTATAATATCATGTGCCTGTCGCAATCTTGTATTGATGACATTCGCAGGTAGCTCGGCCTCAATCAGGATATGCAATGGGTCATCCAAATGTTCGTAACCTGGTCTTCCCTGTAGTTGTTCCTCCTTCAAGACAAGAAGAATATGCGAGATAAATATCGGCAAAAAGATAGTAGGATAAAAGAATTAGACCATGTTGTATTACAGGATTTCTTCGATTTCATCCTTTACTTGTGAAAGCCCATTGTGTTCTTAGTTTTTGCTATGTTTGTGACTTAATATGAACAGAACTATCTAAGTTATCCCAATTATGCATGACTCATTATTCTCGTAAACATGAATAATAATATTAAGCAAAATCAGTATTCACATAATAAATATAAATAAAATACCCTGTTTTCTGTGTTGGAATAAATGCAGTAATCTTGTAAGTAGCAGATAATATTATATACTTATACATGTACACTTTACACACACATAAGCATGGACACATCAATTCTCTGATGACATATTTGATTTCAAGCAGTAATAAAACTGCAAAAGTCCAATATAGTCATGGCACACTGTGCCATGTAAATCAATTTATACTAAGAACAGAGAAGCTGCTCTAGTATTTGAATGCATTAAGATGCGGTTTAGACATAAACTGAGAGTGGCAAAGAGTAAAAATATAAATTCAAAGAAAGAGAATTAATTACCTGGCCAGGATCTTTTATTGAACCCTTTCCTCTAATGTAAACACGGCATCCGGTTGATGCTTCAACTCTTTTCAGAGAATTACCCTTTGGTCCGAGAAGGCGGCCGACAAAATTGAACTAAATGACACATAAAAGAAGTGTATTACAGACCAAAAAGAAACAGCACCATAGAAGGCGTGGTGAAGAATGACATACATTAGGGCATGCATCTACTGGAATTTCTAAGCGCAATATTTTCTTTATAATGCATGAATTTGGACCTGTAGGTGCTCCTCGCCAATCCATTGTTACACCTTCTGGACAACCTAATATCTTCTCAAGGATAAATTGAATTTGTAGAGAAGACAGAAGATGAACTAATAGTCAGCAAATGAAGACTAAATGCAAACTTGAAAGAATGTATCACTCGCTGTAGTTATTCAGCCAAAAAACTCTGTAAATTAAAAGAAAATGGGGAATTATATAACATGAATTTATCCAATGCTCATGAGATATATATATTTGAGTCAGTAAGAAAGAAACCAGCAAAAAAAATAGATTACATGTTACACTAAAGAAGCTCTTTTTACCAATTGGAAATAGTCATCAACAAATCCGTAGACACCCTTAACACATAGAAGCTATAGAATATATTCAGTCCTCCGAATCTCCTCAAGAACCAAAAAAGAAGGAGCAAATAGGAAACTTGTTAGACCTCTGCAAAAATTGCAAGAAGTGCACATTGTGCCATTACCTGATCATTTTCTGTAGAACAGTAATAATACACACAGCTGCAAATCTCTTCATCACAACTTAATGAGGTCTAGTTAGATGTAATATAGTCTCCAGCAATGGCTTGATACTTCTAACTAGAATGAACTGTTTGAAATATAATGGTGCCTCAAAAGAACACATTCCTTAGTAATGGGTGAATCTAGCTAGCTGTGTAATATTTATTATATTAGAGCCTTTAAAGATGTGAACAGGATTAACTTGATCAGGTTAATGTACTTTGACTCTGATAACCAACTGTATCTAGAGGCATAGGAATCCATATTTGAAAAAGATACAAGATGTACTTCAATTTTTTTTCATCAAAATGAAAAAAAATTCATAGGAACAACTGTTGAAGAAAAAAAAAATGAGATCATAAAATATGATCAGGTCTTGATGGAAACAAACAGAGACCAAGTTATCAAAATGATAAAACCCATAAAGATTAGGTTATATGGCCAGGAAAGATGATACCGAGTTCTTCGGAAAATCTTCTATAACCTGAGGCTCCGAATTTTGCAACTTGAAGTGAATAACACTGTGATGTTGATGCTTCTTCTACTTATGAGGATTTTGAATGAAAGAATTCATCGATGTCTTCAGTCAACCAAGTGCTTTCATTCATTTATCATTTCTTGCTAATTAATTGACTTAACTGACACTGTTCACCTCTAAGAATCTCAACTATCAAGCCATATCATATTTATAGGATGGATGACAAACTACCACAAAAGGAAATCATTACTTGTTGACTGAAGTATAGACAACCTGACTGAACAAGCTTCGTCCTAATTGGAAGGTCAGGAAAATGATTAATACACAAATTCACCAGACTTAAACTTGTAAAATATATAATACACATACAAATATGATTACTTTTGTGAAGCTAAGACAATATGTGTATATCTACCTCCTGTGGAGGTCCCCTCCATCCCGCAAAAGTAGTCCCTCCGGCATTAGAAATAAGGTTAGGAGTAGCCATGGCACTCCTACTTCTGTGCTGCAGCTGGTTACAGTCACTAAATCCTTGGTTGGAAACCATGCCTGAGACTCGTATTATCTCTGTTAGTGAGTAGTTCATCAAAATATATATCAGATTAACAACATTCAAGATAGCTGAACCGTTTAAAAAGATTAAAGAAAAAAGAAGATAGCTGAACTGTTTTTATATTTAATCTCACTCCCATTCATAAGTAATAATCAAAGAATCATCATGACATGATAATTGATACCTTAATTTACTTCAATAGCATATAATTTTCAGCAACAACAACAATCTGACAGAAGAAATAACTCTAACAATAAGAATAATGATGAAATAGATTTAAATTACAGACTTGCAATGCACTACTTCAGAAAACTTGAATGTGGAAGCTTTCAATGAGATAATCATCAGTAAAGGACCCACCTCAGAAAATTTGAACTAAACCAAGAAACACCGGGACCTAATCATAAACAGCAAGAATCAAGGAGGGCAAAGCGCATTCAAGAAATTGCGTTGCCAGTGAATTAGACAAGCCTATCTCAAGGAATACAAATGAGACCAGACAGATAAAGAAAGAATGAGAAGCTTCTTTCATTAATTTGACAGCACAATATTCAAATATGAATCTTCACCAAAGATGCCAATGTCATTATGTAATCGATCGAAACAACCAAGTACGCCTAAAGAAGGATCTATCTGAACCAATTGTGCAACTGAAGACCAATCTTGGTATGTCTCATCTGAATTAGCAAAGATGAGAAGACACGGAGCACCAGCTTAATAAGCTGTGGATTAGATGAAGGCAATCCTTAAAAAGCACTGACCTTGATTTAACAATCGGCTACATATAGGAAGAACCTGCATGAAAGGCCCAAGCTTCTGGTGTTCTGCCAACAGCTCTGCCAAGTACTGACTGTAACAGTATCAAGAAAGGAACACTAAGATTTGCAATCACCAAACCATTGTCATGACAAAGCTGGAATCTTTAGATCTAGGCATTGTATACCTGTCTGTATATGCTATGCTTCCCGTCTGAGAGGAGGCAGTTCTAGCAGGGGAGAAGCTATAAGTATACAAACCTGACATGCTGGTGGAGGGAAGAATGGTGCTTCAGAGAAAAGAGGAAAGCAAAGCAGAGACAAAAGTGATGGGAAGACGGAAAGAAAGGTGCAGTTTTGGGTGTTAGAGGAAGGCTTCAGCCCCCCTCTCTGTCTCTCTCTCTCTCAATGCGGCCAACCTTGCAACTCACATGAGATATAAATGGAAGTAGCAAAGGAGTTACTGGAAATGATTAATGAGTGGCCCCATGGATTCATTCGGATTCACTTGTCTGAGGAAGCTCAAATAGGTGCATGGGCTTCAAGGATCATGTCCACAACTTTTGCACTCCATGTTGGAAGAGGTGGGGGGATGGGAACACAAACCATATCACCATTGAAGCAGAGAGTCTGCAACACTCAAATGAAGTTAAAAGGGTGTTTATAGACAGACATAGCTCAGTCTCTTAACCTTCCCTACTTCACCATTATGATGTGCAGAGCAATCCAAGATTAACATGAAGAACTTTGAGCATTGTCTGTGTCACAGGAAGAACGAGATCATAGGATTCCCTGGAGGTGTAATAGAAAAAGCATACGGCACAGATCTGTGGGGATTTGGCCACAAAGCTGCTGCCCTCTTTTTGGTCAAGCCACCCACGCATGTGCTATCATCTTCTCCCCCCTTCCCACGGTCACTCCCCCAAACACCCATCTTTTGCTGTCATGGCCGCACGTTGGTGGTGGTAGACAGTGAGCACTATTGGCACGGTTTAGGCACGAGTCCAAGAGCAATCTCGCAAAGGACAAAGACTCCCCGCAGCTTCAAACGGCAGTCGGTGGGGGGAGTGGAAAGTCGATAGCACAAGAAGACGCTTCTCCATTCCATAGCACGTGTTGGGAGTTCAGATCTTGAGAGGGACGTGACTTGTGGCACAGAGCACGAGCTGGCACACGTGGGGGTTTGGTTCTTTGACAACGGCGCGCACGAGCGGTGGTATTATTTTTTTCACGAATAAAAAAAGAAATATATTATTACTTTAAACGTCTAAAGTAAACATTCTCGATGCGTTGTCAGTGTTACGCCTCTGATGGGGATTCGCCCGAATCCAATGCAAACCCAACTCAACCTAACTAGATCGGACCAACATTTTTCCGAGTCCGAATCTAACCCAGCTGTCATTTTGGGTTGGCCCTGGTTGACTCAGCTAACTCGGCCCGTATTAAGCTACAGCCTACGGAGTCCCACATGTATAACCCCATTTGCTTCCTCCAATCTCCTAATTAGGTCGCTATGAACCCTAATCCCTAACTCATCAACCCCAGCCTCTATATATATATATATATATATAATGTGATCAAAGATACATATAATGCATCTTTATAAAAGATGCATTGTGGATGTTATAAAAGAAATACTCTCAAAGAGAGCTTGATTACTCTAAACTAATTGTGCATGTTATAAAAGAAAACTAAGATTATGTGGGGTAAAGTTTTCTATGTATATTCAGTTCACAAAAAAAATGCTAATGAAATTTATAACTCTTAAACTACAATCTTAATGACTTAATTCTCCAAGGCAACAATCTCTATGTTAAAATATTCTTTTGGTAAACATGTGATTAAAGCTTGGAGTTGAATAGAAGATGGAATAACCGATCGATTAATTTGTTGAAATTGAGTTGCTGATCTAAAACATTTAAGTCCAAGTCATTAATCTTTTGTGAATCGATTTAAATCTTTAATTATTTTGATGTAAGACTAATTTGAGAAGTTATATTTTTGGTGTAAGTTTATAAAATGTGAATAGTCATGACATGATATGATATGATATGATCATCATAAAAGCATCACAATTTCTATCCAAAAGAACAGTAGCAAAATGGTGAGTGGTGACACACACTTGTAATGTCTTGACAATCTAGTAGGCCCTAATAATATATGTCGTTATCTAATTTATCCCCTCTCAAACAGTATTTTCGAACCATCTCATGCGACAAAATCCACATGACTCCAAACTTGCAATCTCAAACCAAGATACACATTAAGATGAAATGTTAAAAGGATGAGTAGGTAGTGAATGCACATTAAGGTTCTTTCAACAACAAAAAAAAGTCCATAGACTAAGAATATTTTTTTGAGGTAAAGGATGATTAGGTTGTGAAATAAGCATTTACATGATTTATATGCTATGTTGAGTTGGTGGGTCAAAATAATTCCAACTCAGCTTTCCTTCATCACATAGTATGTATAAAATAATTTGAGCTAGAAATTATATAGAAGGCAGGTTGCAGAGTCATTGCTAATATTTATTGACTAGTGATGAATAATAAGTTGCTAATTAAACTGAGAACAACAAAATTAACCCAAAGTGAATTAAGCATGGAAACATTTGACATAATGAAGCGATAACAGTACTCGAATGATAGATAGGCCAATGTGTTAGACATAATTGAAGAGATTGAAGTTGTATATTCTCTTATATTTATAGATATGCCAACAAATGTATTTTTTAGTTGGCTTCTTGGATTATACTTTTTGGTGGTTCTCGAGAGTAGAGGTTGTTATTGTGTTTTGAATTAACATATTTTTTTAGAAAAAGGAAAATCATATAGAAAAGCTATTCCATGTTAATTAAACTTTGTTTGGTTCAATTTATGTGTTTTCACAGCACTTCTTAAATTAGAAATATCTTGAGAAAAGATGAAGATATTTGAAGTCAAACTGGCACATGAAATTAATAGTTTCCAATATTCCAAACATAATAATTCCTTGTAGAAAAATGGTAGTTTCCAATACTCCATCATACATACGTATTTATATATGGAGAATGTGTATACACATACTTGTGTACATTGGAACAGATGAACAATTATATAAGGAATTATTAAGGAGTGATGGCTACACTCATAGAAAAATACTTTGCATGGTGGGATGAAGATGCGGACGTGACAGATTTATTGGATTGGTTGGTGCATTGCTATCCGAATCGACATGATACTATTGGTTGATACATTGCCATCTGAATCAACACAGCATTACAATTTGATTGGAGCCACAGAAGTTAATGTGCGAGACACAGAGGATAAATGCAAGAAAAGAAGCCCCACACTACCTCATCGACTACGTTCCAACTGCAGATCCATGCATGGCGACAACTCTCCTCTTACACACTCCACCATCAAATGCTGTACTACTCTTGTCTTACCAAGCTCAAATCCTCCACCATGCTATAGCTGGATCTCCGTTTTGATGATACACTAGTGTAACCTGTCATGGGTGGACCAGTGGGCAGGAGTCATGGGGAGGTCCACCATTTCTTAGTCCTGTCTCACCCACCCAATCTGGAGCGAGAAGAGGCAGTCAAAGGTGCAGTACACCCACACACTGAGAGCTGTGGCCTGCACCTGCTGTCAATGCCTCCTTTTAGACTTTTGGACACACCCTCATTAGATCGCTACCGCAGAGGTCAGATAACTCGAAGTGGTGGCTCAGATGAATCCTCTTCACATGTGTGTGGTTACTTTTGCCACCGCCTACCTGCCGTCGCTTTCAGCTGCTTCCAACTCCCATGAACTTAAGAGACGGCTTATCCTCTCTCCCCTTGCCAACATGATGAACAGCTTCTCATCTTTAAAAGGGATCCATTAATCCTTCCTCTCACAAATGTTCAGATCAGCCTGCGACCAGTCTCCTCTCTATGTGTCTTTCGCTTAGTTTATGCTGTTTCTCCCCTCTCTCTCTCTCTCTCTCTCTCTCTTTCTCTCTCTTTCTCCCCCTCTCTCCCTCTTCTTTCTTGTTCCTAGTACATGCATATGCTGGCTTGATTGTTGTGTTCTTCCATCTTTGATATGCTTCTTCATGATTTATGCTGGTTTTGTTCCTCAGCTGATTAAAGGAAAAAAATTTCTTTTTCCTTATTTTTCGGGACCTGCAGAAATGGGGTCTACTCTTTTCTTTTGTTGTTGTTTTTCTCCGTTTCACGTCCGATTTGTTTTTCTCTCAGTACTTACACTGCTGGTTGATGGATGGAACTATTGAAAGTTCATCCTCTCTCTCTCAAAGGAGGCTATCACATCAACACTGTTCTTTGTATGAAAGTCTAGGGTTTCTAAGAATCTTTGGAGGAGATGACATGCACTTTATATCATGCCATCATCTATGATATCTCTCCTTGATTTCTGATCATGTTTTCGGGAGTGTATTTGTTGAGCTGCCTTTTCCCTGTGGACATCTGTGAAGCTTTGCCCGGTGGAGGATAAAAATTAGGGTTTCGACGAGCCCCATCTACAGTATATGTTTTCTGAACTCTTGGTCTCTGTAACCTCCATCGCTGAGAAGAATTGTGAAGGTGATGCTACAATTTTTCCTCTCCCTCTCTCTCTCTCTCTCTCTCTCTCTCTCTCTCTCTCTCTAGATTTACAAAGTAATTGCTTAAGTCCTGCGCTTCTGAAGTTGATTCTCACAGATATATGATTAAGATCTTTGTTCTTTTTTTCTCTAACTAGTTGATTTTTTCTGATAAAAATAAGATTATTCTGGTTTAATCTTTTGTTTTCCTAGCAACCATTTCTGAGCTCAGATGCTATTTAGTAATGCTTCCTAATCACTGGATATACAACTAATCTTGCTGATTGTGAGAATTCATGTTGAATTTGTGAGTTACAGAGGCAATAGCAGATGTTAGAAATCTGCTAAACAAACATCATCTTTGCAACAGGATTCTATTTTTTTAGATCTACATACAGTCCAGCCATCAAACAGTCACTCTCTTTCAGTACTTAGGAAGTACTACATAATAGTCTGAAAAAAGTCACCTAATTTGAAACCTATATCTTTTGTTAGAAATGTTGTTTCTGTTATGTTATCCTCATCTGGAATTGTGATAATGCTTAATTGAAGTATGACCGGTAGTTTATACTAGAAAATAATACTCCCTCAAAAGTTTCATATAGAAAGTTGTAACTTTTTGTTCCTTCCCTTTCCTAATTTTTGGTTCTTCAGATGAAAAGATCAAGTGTTGGGTAAAACATCTTTGATGTTCTCAGTAAATTAAGATATCTTTGTGAGGGAGGAATGACATCCATTATTAGCTAACACAAGATTTTAAGTTTGCCATCATTTTCCTCAACCATTTATGCCTGAAATTGGCCACTTGAAGAAAGCCACCAGTGTTTTGTGTTGGATCAAGTTCAGTAATGGGAAGAAAGGCTAAATTATACTCTCTCACTATGTCATTTACCACACAATGAAATTATCTTGCGTTCATCATGATTGTTGTTTAATTGTTCTTCTCCCTAGCAATGTGTGTTACCTAGATCTGGATTCATAATATTAATTCTCCCTATAAGTTAGATACACAGATCGCATGCTTCTATAAGTTTTTTGCTAATCCATTTGCAAGTTCTTAAGAATCAAAAGCAAACATCAGCAGATGTTATATGAGCAAACACTAAAAGATATTTTCTTGTGTTATACATTCACAGGCAAGACTGCAAAAAGATTCTGCTTTGCAATCTATGCACCTTGAATCTGAGTAAGTAATACGGTAAGGCTGTGCTATTTTGTTATAATTTTCTTACAATTTTATCCTTTAGAACCCTACTATTTTTCATGATCCAATTCTATCTTTGCCTCTATTAGAACCAGAAGAAGAAGAAGAAGAATAATAATAATAATAAATCTTTGTTTTTAGAATAATATGGAAATTTTCTTTCATTTTTGAGGAAAACCAAGAAGAACAAACTCAATTTGATGATGACTTTAACTGATCATGGGAACACATCAGTCTTCTGTCTTGTGTTTATGTATGTGTGGATGACACAAAAGAACCTGAGAAATGTGTCTGAGAGAGCTTCCTTCAGTCCACTCATGGATGGCTCTGGGGTTTGAATCAACTGCCGACTCATTCATTCAAACACTCAGTAGAAAGCTGAGCTACTCTGTGAATGAGTGAATGATGCGGGAGATTATTCTCTCTCTTCCATTCCATACTTGGACTGAAGGGAGCTCCCTCTTTCTCATCTTCTAAGCTCTTCTTTACCCCGTTGATCCTTCGATCCACTGACTCATTCCACCACCTCCTTATCTTCTTTGTTTTTGGCTCTCTCCCCTTGAGTTGCAGGAAGCAACATTCCAGGAATTCAGCAGGTAGCGATAGAAAAGCTCCCCTATCCTCATCCGAGCTTAATATAAATCCTCCCTTTCATTATGCTTGAGTGGGAACTTGAAATCATACTTATGCGTTGTAGCTTTTTGCAGCCCCTCTCACTTATGGGAAACCTTCAACGTGCTCCTGCCATTTGATCTCTACCATCTTGAAACTTGAGCCGGGTATAATTAAAACCTGCACTTGTAGATTCTTTTTCGAGGCCTCGCACTGATGTCTCCACGACAGTAGCACAGATCTGAAAAGATTCAGGATGCTCCTCGTGGATCAACAGTGAAAGTACAGTTTCATTCAGACCTACAACTTAATTTAAATGCTATCAGTGCCGTCTGCATATGGTTCTTCAGAATATTTTTTCTATTCCTACAACATGCACTCTCTCTCTCTCTCTCTCTATATGTGGAAATTAAATGTCACTGCTCTCTTCAGAGCATTGCCTGGAAAGGTGGTGTTGTTTCAGCCAGATCATGGCGGTGGTATTTGTGATTGGAAGTGATGAAAGTACACAACACTTCACTAATTTACTCACTGGATACTGAGGTGTGTCCTCTGCAGAATTCACATATTCCCTTGAAGAAGACCATGGGATAGGCTTGCAATGGCCGCCAGTGTGCTCCTTTTATATAAGGGATGTTGCCAAAGATAGAAAGAGAGGTCAATGTAATGCCAAATCTCCACATAGTTTTGCAATGGAAAGACTTACCCTTATGGGAAAACGTCTTTATATAAGTAAAGCTTTATTTTCATTAGTCAATGCATGTCCCCTAGTATTTTTCTAATTATTCAAAATCAATTTGGGTTGTTTATAAACAACAAAAAAGTTATAATTTTCAGATATTATAGAAAAAGAGATTTACTTTTCTACCTTTATCAAGTCGTGGCTTTCTTTCATCTCATCCTACAGTCAAAATTACTGTATGTATTATATATACATATACACACTAATCTCCTCTGTGGCCTTCAAACCTGGTCTCCGTTGCTGTCTCTTCGTCTCTAAAGTATCAAAACGCACGCCCTGGTTGACAACCCTGTTCCCTCCCCTCCGGCGCCAGCCGCCTTCCCCGACGGCAGCAATTAATCCACCAGCTTGCCAGAACCTGCCGTAGGTCTCCTGCACCTTGTCTTCCGGCATCAACAAGTAAAAGCCTGATGTTGCACTGGAGCTTGACGAAGAAGCCCACGTACCCCATGGCCTCCGTTCTTGGACCTGTGGTAGCTACCGTCTAACCTCATCACCAACACGCCCTCCTCCTTCATGCGGTCGGAGCAAGATCGTGTCGATGAGCTAATTAACCATTAGGGAAGTCCAGAAGCCGGCAGAGAGGGCATCAGATGCAAACTTCGGAGCTTCAACTCCATATACATGCATACATGCATCATACACAAACTTCGGAATGGTGAACACTTCGTGATCTACTTGAATAATAAAGCTTTTTATTTATTTCTGGTAGAAAATATTGACGTGGGAAGAGAAATAAATAAAAAAACTAAAGGAATAATTCAGTGATATATATTAAGTTTGATATATAATTTATCATCCTAAGCTTTTAAATTAAATTAGTATCTGACTTGATGTGTCAATACTAACTAGTTTGATTCACACTACCATTAATGGATTTCTAACAAAATGAAAATTTTTGAATAATGATATGAATAAAAAAATTGAGCCAACATAAGCTTGATAACTATAATCAAACTTGTACTTATGGATAAAGTTAATTATCAATATCAATGATAAATATCAATGATTATGATCCATAATCTATCAATTTAAATTTTTAGATTGAATTAGCATATATTGACACTCACGATTAATCGATTATGTTATCTTTTTTGCCTCCAATTTGCCAACTAAAGTGATCATAATAATATGATAGTGACTCTGTAATTTGTTATTCTTTTTATTTAAATTTCAAGATATTTGTATTCAGATTTGGTACATTTTCAATATGATTTTGTGACTTTGTGTAATAATGCTCAATAATTTTACCTCAAGTTTATACAATCAAATGATAATAATACGAGGATAATGATTGTCTAATTTGTTGACTTCATTTTGAATATTGAGACATTTGCATTCAGATTTGGCACATTTTCAAGGATCGATAAGGGTTTGCTGGTGAACCGAACCGGCCCGCAAGCCATCCTGACCTATCATCATTCGACTACCGGATCGGTTTGATTTGGTCTGAGAGCCACAACAAAACGGTTTGTAGATGAACCAGACCGAACCGAACCGTACACAGCCGCAGGGCACTACCGGCAGCATTTATATTGGCATATCTTATTTCTCACGGCAGCAGTAAACGTCGTTACTTTCCGTCACCTTGCGATATCTTCCGATCGGGTTCCGTCGTCCTGCGACTTCGATTCCCCGCCCAGTTCACAGATCTCCTCCAGTAAGCAAATCTTCGTTTCCCACTCGGCATTTTGCTTGATCCGTTCCGTTCCTCTCTCCACTCCATGGTTTTCGGATTTATAGCGGGTCGATCGACACCCTTGCTCTTCATCCGGGGCGGTCTAATGGTAGCACAACCGCGCTGAGGTAAACTCTCGGATTTTGATGTCCGGCTGTAGTTGTTCCCTTGGTCGAGTGTTTATTTGAGGAAAGGGATGGTATCCCTCGATCGTTGTGGTCAATGTCTGATTTCGTTGTTAGGGTTCAACCACCACGAATTTCTTTGGTGTCGTTGTTCTTAATGTTTGTGTTGTTGATAGAAAATAGTCCTGAGAAGATAAGAAATCCTAGGGCGTAATTTTATTGGATCCCTATTTTGATTTGGCTCGGGTTAGCAGCTCTTATTCACTGCAAAGGATGCAAACGGGGAACTTTTGGCGTTTACATTACGAATCCTAAGGTGTTTAAATCAAGAGCCAACTACCTTCGGGGTTTAAATAATGTATGGATGGGAAAAATTAGATTTTTTGTGGCATTAGACATTTCAAATATAGGGTTCAAAGCAAGACAATTAAAATGTCTATACACTATTTGTAGTTCAAAGTAAGATTTTTTTTTTTGTGCTTGTTATAATTTGATAAAAAGTTGTTGAAATCGAAGATGGAACATTTCGCATTTGGATTGGCTTAGTCTAAGAATCTTATTGTTGTATACGGTTCTCATATCTATGCATTCTATTGAGGATAATTCAAAAGTTCTGCCTGGATTCTTACTCTGTTGGCCATGTTGCCAAGACGGTGCAACATGTTAACAGTGTGAAAGTATTATGCTGATTTTTGAATAGATAGTTAAGATGTAGTTTTCGTCGATACTCAAGGTGCTTATTGATGAAGGATATAACCCGAGCAGTTTAAAATATTTTGTGAAAGAAAACTACTGCAGAAGATGATGTCTTTTAGCCTTTGACAAAGATGCACTTTCTTAAGCAAGCTAAATTGCAAGTTTAGAGTTATTATGTTTGCCATCTATTAATGTTATAAAACTTATCTGCTAAATTCTCTCTTTTTCTAGTAAGAGTAGTTTTTGCATCATTCTGTTAGTTGTATGCTGTTAACAATCGTGAAGAATGAAGTTGGAGGCTTTTCTCTTGCCTAGCATTTAGTTCTTTATCTTTCTATTACTGATATGTTCCCTAATTTTTGAATCTTGAGAATGGTTTTTTCCCTTTTGCACTAGCAGTATTTCATTTTCTGCCCTAGGGTATCTTGTTTTTTTATAATAATTTTGGTTAAGTATGGATGAAGTTTCTCATGAAAAATTCAGATATAGAGCTAGGATGCTTCTAATACTTTCTATAAAGACTGAGGACTGATGAGTTAAGATGCCATGAAAACATGTGAATACTCAAAATGTTGGATCTTTTCTGGAAGAAAAGCAATGAGACAATCCTTCTCTCAGTTCTGGACTTTCACTAATCATGATGCTTTTAATAAGTAACATGTTTCTGAACATATAAGATGCTATTCTTTTAATGCCTTCAAGAAGTAGAAATGAAGAGTGTCTCAGGAGAAAAAAGGACTAATCCTAATGCTGTAGTTTTAGACAATCTCAATTTCTTTCACCAATTTGGGGATTTATATATGCCAGCCATTTGTCTTTGTTCAATGGTTGATCTTCACATCAGGTGGATTTTACTTCTGAAAACCACCTTATAACTATGAGCCTACTGATAGAGATTTGTTTCTGCAAGCAATGTATCAGATCAAGTGCATGGTATTTGATATTTCATGAAAAAATTCTTGTTAATGAAAGAGTCTCAAGTTTCTTTTCTCCTGTCTTGCATCACAACTTACAAACTGAAAATTATATGTTTTGTTTCTCTCTTTGGTTCTTTCTAGTCATTTGTTTCGACTTGTTATTAAGAATTATATGTGATTATCTGTGAGTCGAGATAATGGTTGACCCATATTTTTCTTCTTAAGTTGCTAATCTTGGTTAAATCATTCACAATAAAATTAGCAGTTTATCTCAGCATTTCATACAGTCAGGAGCAGTGCTTGTTCTTCAGAAGAGCTTTTTCTTTGGAGGCAGAGGTTAATGATAGCTTCAAACAAATATAACCGTATGAAATATTTGTTGGATAAGACGACAAAGGAGAGACAAGTTTGAGAGCTCAGAGCCAATGGAAGATTCATTCTCTCGCAGATTTTCCCAACTGATTAACTTGGCCAACCAGAATAGTGAAGCACAACTTGGGGGTGATACTCCTGCTCGTCGACGAGTGAGCTATTACGCAGCTCGGAGCAGGTCTTTGAGATGGCACAATGTGTTATCTGATAATGACAATGATGCTCTTGATCAATCGGACTTGGTGTTTGGTGAAACTGACTCCAGTTTTAGTTTTGGTGGTTATGGAGGAGAATCAGATGCCTCCCTGGATACACATAGCATACTTGATAGAGAAATGTCTTTTCAACTTGAGAATGAGAGCTATGTTTCCACTGACACAGACATCGATCCAATGCATGCAGGACTCGATTTATTTGAATTTGATGCCCGATATGACAATGTTGGTGATGATCGTGATTATGGTGACTGGATAGGCACAAATTTGGTTGAAGCAAATAGGTCTGTTCACACACATCAGCAATTTGAGGATGCTAATTTCAGTCCTAGTGGTAGTGGTATGGCAGGTGCCCAAGATGGTTCCTGGTTCCAGCAGACGGAAGGAGAAACTCAATCTCGACATGCTGACTTTTTTACTGATTTAGACGTAGTGGAACTAAGACGAGCATATGTTGGGAACCCAGGAGATTATCTTGATGACGAGGTGCTTGAGCAGCTTGCAGAGGCTGCTGGCTCAAGCGGGGCACCTCCTGCAGCAGTGTCCTCGGTGAGAATTCTCCCGTCTGTAGTCATTTCTGATGACCATGAGAATAATGGTATTCAGATTTGTGCTGTATGCAAGGACCCGTTGCCTATAAATACAGAAGCAAAGCAGCTTCCCTGTATGCACCTATATCATCCTTTCTGCATCTTACCATGGTTGAAAATAAGGAACTCATGCCCGGTTTGCAGATATGAGCTTCCAACTGATGATCCAGATTATGAGGAGGCGAAAAGGGACCAGAACAGAAATGAAAGGCATGAGTCTTGGCCCCCAGACAGGGCTGAGGAAACCTATGAAGCATTTACAGAACTGGAGACCGATGAAGCTCATGATTTTAGTAATGCAAGAGCTGAGCATGATAGTTTAGAGGGTGCTGTCGAGGAGGCGAATAGATCAAGTGGAGAGAGCAGCAGAGGCAGATGGATGTTTCTTGCGGCCGCTCCAATTGTTAGTTTGGTCGGTTTCGTTCTTGTTGTCTGGCTAAGAAAACCTGCGGTTTACGGGAGAACTCAGGGAAGCAACTTTAGCGAGCGTCATCTCCACCAAACACGGGGCTCCACTTCTCCAGCAGATAGAAATAGGAGATGGTGGTCTATCTTTTAGCTGCAATCCATTTTGCAGTCGGTTTCAGCTGTCTTGTGCTTCTGCGCCAGAATTCAATGAAGCTGCTGATATCAACATATGCTCCTGTCAGCATCTCTGTCATATAGTTTGTTTTTGTGTTTCTGAATCCTTCAATCTGCTCATCGTCTCATGAAGGCGCGACCATGAAAGGTGTGCGTTTTGTTTCTTTACTCTTGAGATCAATCAATTTGTGGGCACTCATGCGATGTTACACGCTCATCGATGTATCTGATTTCATGTAACGTGCAACTTGAGCTTGATTTACTGCTCGACTACGGTTGTCATCTCAGCAAACACTTGTAATCGGTCATCCTACTTGAGTTAAAAGTGACCTTTTTCTTGCACTTGAGGACGCCTATTCTTAATGTTGAAATTAAAAAGTTTGATATGATATGGCATTATTCCGGACACTTGATTATAATCGCAGGGTTGACGTGGATTCTGAGCTCCGAGATTGGCGTAGGTGCTGAAGTCACCCCCGTGAGGGACGATGAAGGATGGGGAAGAAGACCTGAGCAGCTTCCTCCAATAATAATAAACCATTGCCGCTCCATCCTCGACTCGATTCAAGTCCATCTGTTTGTCCAAGTCTAGAGAGAGAGCGAAGAGAAAGAGAAATATTTATCTATCAAATTTTGCCTTTATCACTCAAGAATCCAAGAAACTGAAATGTAAGTTCTTTAAAAAAATATTTTTTATTCGAATGTTACATAATACGCGTATTATGTTCTTATGGCAGAGCTTAACCTTTTGGTCTCATAATTGTGCACACTATACCTTAGACACTGAAATGTTAATTTGCCTTTGCCTGCTGCACGTGGAATATGATGCTTCTGATCTAAATGGCATACCCAACAAGTGGTGTTGTGTACGCCGCATCTTACACTGGACAAAAGGACAGGTACCATAACCATCCATCGTACAGGGGCCATATCCTCGTTTAACTTCGACGACAACAAGTCGTACGCATCACTTCACGATGTTCATTGCCTCACATGCATCTCCTCAAAGCTCCCATATCGATCCTTTCGCTTCGGCCTCGTCGGATGCGATGATCTCTGTCATCCGAGCCATGGAAGTCGCGATCTCCTAACGATTACGGTTGGGTGATAGGTGGGGCGGGAGTTGGTTGGCAGTGGCAGCGCCATTAAGGTCAGTGGCCATGGATGGGATCGGAGAGGCTATGCTTTCGGTCTTCGCCTCCGCCTGCCGTCCACCAACTGCAGTATTCAACGCAGCGATGGGGACTCATTTTGGGAATGGGCGCTGTTGTTCGAAGTCGATCATCGTCACATCAGGCTTAGTCTCCTCTGTCCCCGGCTATACTGCACCAAAAACAATGATGCAAGTAGCGATCTGCTTTCGTTTTGGATAAGTACAACTTAACCGAAGAGTTGTGTACAGTAGACTCGGTCACCTCAAAGCTTCGATATCACGCAGAGTCTACGGTTGTGCAGGACGTGGACTCATCATGATGCAGCCATCGCAGAGACGATGACCTGGTTGCCGACGTGCCTCTGGGACCATGTTGACTGTACACTACCCATATCGTTTTAAGGGTAAGTGGTAATCATACAATAGATTTGAGTTACAGTGACTGCGACTGGAAAAGGAGGCTTCCGGTCAATGGGCACCTAAGTATCGTCGATCGTCACTCGGTTGCTATGCATAACACCAACGTCTCCTGCACGCTACACTTGACACGCGTCTCGGGGAGAGCGGTGGGCACCACATTGCCTCTCCAGTCAAAACCGCGTGTGGCAAGAAACAAATGTCGAACAGGTTACAGCTTTTTATTGGATCGACTGCAACAGCCTTTGCGTTGCTGGTGGAAGCCGAGGCAACCAAACGTGTGGGAGCCACAACAAAACGCGGGACCCTCGTCCGATTCAAATCGACCATGCGTGAACCGACGACGGCGGGGACCCCGTCGACGCCGAGGGCGGCGCGGGGGACTCGTTGGGTGGCGGCTGCGGCGGGGAGGTGGCCGCTTCCTCGGCGCCCCCCGTCCGCGCCTCCAGGTCGGCGAGCGCGGCTGCCAGCTCCGCCGCCGCCTCTCGCATCGTGGGCCGCTCCTCCCTGCGCGGGCGCACGCACCGGCACGCCAGCTCGAACACCGCCCCCACCGTGGCCCGGTCCCAGCCCTCCCCTAGCCTGGGGTCCACCACCGACGGCCCCGCGCCGTCGGACGACCACCCAGCGGACGCGCGCGCCGCGTGGATGATGGACTCCGCCCCGCCCGTCGGGGTGGGAACCACCGCCCGCATCCCGGTGACGAGCTCCAGCAGCACCACCCCGAAGCTGTACACGTCCGTGGCCTCCGACACGTGCCCCGCCGGGAAGCTCTCCGGGTCCACGTACCCCAGGGTGCCCATCAACTCCGTCGACACGTGGTTGCCACCCGGCGGCACCACACGCGACACACCGAAGTCGGACAATTTGCCCAGCCCCGCGTCGGTGAGCAGCACGTTGGTGGGCTTCACGTCCCGGTGGATCACCGCCCCGTCGGGGAGCCCGTGCAGGTACGCGAGCCCCTCCGCCACGTCGACAGCCACTCGGACGCGCCGCCACCACGTCAGCTCACCGGAGGAGAGGGCGCGCGCGAGATTGCCGCCGGCCATGTACTCGTACACCAGAGCGTGCTCCCGATCGCCGAAGCAGTAGCCGACGAGGGTCGCGAGGTTGCGGTGGCGGAGCTTGGCGAGGATGGCCACCTCGGCATAGAACTCGGCCACCTTCTGTTCCTGGTGAATGCGCTTGATGGCCACGGGCTGCTCGCTGGGGAGCCTCCCCAGATAGACCTTACCGGCGCCTCCCTCGCCGAGGAGGAGGCGGTCGTCGAACCCGTTCGTGGCCGCCCTTAGCTCTGCCTTTGTGAAGATGTATAGACCATCCGTGGGGAGCGGGGACGCGGCGGTCGAAGACGGCGGCGGCTCCTTCTCGTCCTTCATGTTGCTGGTGACCGCGGTGGACCGGCGGATCTTGAAGGCGAGAAAGACGATCGCCGCGATGGAGACGAGGCCGGCCGAAGCGGAGCCGACGGCGATTTTGATGGATCTGGAGGCGGAGGATGAGGAGGACGTGGAGACGGGAGCTTGGACGGAGGAGGGAGGCGGGGGCGAAGGGATGAGGTTGTCGGTGCCAAGGCCACCGACATTTTCGAGGACTTGGAGCATACAACGGGCGTAGGAGGCGAACCGGGGCGGGGACGGCTGGAACGGGGTCCAGACCGCGATGGTGGCGGCCACGCCGCAGGGGACGAACTCCTTGGAGTGGGTGGCGTTGAGCAGCGCGAAGGTGGCGGAGATGACGGCGTTCTGGCACGCGGGGCATGCGGTGCCCACGTCGGGGGAGAGATCCCCAGCGGTAGGGGAGGCGCAGAGGCGGGAAGCAAGCGTGAAGTCGGCGGCGGAGCGGATGCCCCGGACGGTGGGGAACTGGCACGGGCGGCCGGCGGCAGCGAGAAGGGACGAGCCGAGGTCGCAAGAGGTGGAGGAGAGGAGAGAGGCGTTGACGAGGCCGCGGCTGACGAGGACGGCCGCGAAGGAAGCCGAGCAGGCGGAGGCGACGGCGGGGGGGAGGAAGGCGGTGCCGCTACGGTTGGCGTGGAGGACGGCGGCGAAGGTGTAGGCGGTGTAGACGTACCAGCAGCAGTTGGTGGCGGCGGAAGCGGCGGAGGCGTTGGCGTAGCAGGCGGGGGAAATCAGGTGGGAGGCGGAGTCCAAGTCGTATGGGCACGTGGCGGAGTTGGCGAAGCGGGCGGGTGAAGTGAGGAGGAGGAAGAGGAGCGTCGGGGGCAACAGGCAAAAGCTGTGGCGGCGGAGCATTCTATCACTGCTATCGAATCGATTAGTTCTGCGGAGGCGAGGAGGAGCGGATTTGGGATCGTGATAGAAGATGTCGGCTTTGAGTTATGTGGAGGAACGAACGTTGACTGAATCGAGTAAAAGGTTGGACTTGGTCTGGTCATTCATTTACTTGTTTATCTTTGTTAAAATGATTAATTATTCGTTGGTCTTCGTATTTCCAAATATTTTGGATTTGTTTACCAATCGAGTCATCATCGGACATCCTCTGCCATCACACCAAGTTCTCTTTGCGATGCGTGCATGAACGTGATGAACAGAGCAGATCATCCGAGCAGACCACTGCACGCGGTGTGATGTTAATGGGAGGAAACACACCCAATAACCATCTTCCGAGATTAGATTCTGATGATCTTAAATGTCTCTCGAAACTGAGTGAAGTATGAGAATATTCATGTAAATATAATTTATAAGTTGATCGTAGATTCATTTATAGTGAGTGTTGATACATACAATTCCTTCAGTTTTACATATTTGTTCCCGTAAGTAATATAACAGTCTATTATTTGAATAACAGTAAATTATTTGACATCGTTGTTATTTTTCTTTCAAAAATAATAAAAAAAATTAAAAATTAAAAATCCATTAAGACTTGGTAGCTCCACCAAAAGACAGACTTAGTTAAATCATTTTGAAGAGTTACAGACACTTCTTGTGAGAGAACTGATTCACCCATACAACATTCATTGGCTTTATTAATTTTAGATTTCGTGACAACTAATGTGTTGTCAGGTTAGTTTATCTAAAACAATGCAAGATAACAATGAGTTGCAGCGTGAGCTGTTTAATGTCAACTATTAGATGATTTACAAACCAAGAAGATTGTTTATCTGATCGGAGCAAGTCGGCTAAAGTGAATGATTTCGTCACAACTGATCGATATTCGGTTTAGGTTTAGGTTTGATAATCCGTCAATTCGAGATTATCATTCGCATGAAAGTTTCGACACAAACTTATAAAATGAAAGAGTTAACTATAAGACTTAAAAGTAATATAATTAAAAATATGATATAGGACTTATAGATGTATAATAATGTAGGTTATTTTTTATAACACTCTCGATAAATTATGTATCATTGTTGATTTTGATCTCCTCTTTTTATGGAACCTGATTTGAACAGAGTGCATCGTAAGTCAATCACGTGAGTGATTACATAACGTATTCTTTTTTTATTATATTATTTGATATAATATAATATATATTTTGATCTCCTCTTTTTTATTTTTTATATATATATATATTGTGATATCCATTGATTTGTGTAATTGGAATCATGATGGTATCACGATAACGATACTAATTCATCTTTAAATACATACTCTAAATAATCATAGTCATAGTTTATTCGAGAGGGACATCGAGAAAACCGGACAGACTGGTGTATTGTATACCTATCCATATGATGGAGATAGCTGGTCTCATAACTGTTCGTGTGGAGTCACTAGGGCTATAGTGCATGTGCTTATTGAAGAATGAGTTCATTGATTAATTCGCTCACGGAATGCTGGATGGTTAATGATACCTCATTGGCAGACAACGATTCTGTTGTCCCAGTAGTGTACTTGGTTCTTAGACTTGAAATACCAAGGATGCCCTGTATAAGTACTACACTCTTTGATACTAGACTTATAGATTTGGAAGTATTTCATATATAACACAACCGGTTATCGAGAGTGGCAGTAAATCTTACGAGGGCTATTGAGTGTCAATAGAGGATCATCCGCTCTCGGTGTCATGAGAGGAATATCTCATATGTTCTTGCTTAGGTAAATCCATAGCTAGGGTTATTCATATTGAGAGAGAAAGAGTTATCCGGAAGAATTCGATTAGCGCGAGACTCGAATAGAAACTCTATGGATCTGACATCACCATATTTGGTATATGGTCTCTGGGATATTAGATGGATGAGGGACTATATGTATACAGTAACTGAGGACATATAGGTCCAAAGGATTGGATTTCCTTATATCGTTTGGGGGGCTTAGTACGTTCATAGTCGATGAGTCGAATGAATTATTATAAAAATAATAATTTACTGAGCTAGAAGGAATTCTGACAGGTATGACTCATGGCCAACTCGATATTAGACATAGAGGGTCACACACATATGGTAGGCATTGCAACGAGTAGAGGCTTGAATATAAGATATACACCAGAGCCCCTATCTTATTATATATCCAATAAACCCATGAATTATTGCAGGTGCTCGTTGGAGAATGAGTTCTCTATGGATCTGTAGAGATTTAGAGATATACGATCTCCTTAGGTAAAACATAACTATCTCACATATGAATTTAAGTTTTGTGGGTTTTACGCATCAATCTTTGCACGACGATAAACAACTTTTTAAGAAATTTGATATTTTTATTTTCTTTTCTTCCTTAGATTTCTCTACATGAACAACATAGCTATCGGTATAAGTTGGAAGGCAAGGGGAATATCTTTTTGATTATCTTTGGGTCTTCTTCTTCTTATCGCTACTACCGAATATGTTTTTAGATAATTTTAAGATTATAGAATTCAGAAAATATTGGAAAGGTTATACAATTCAGAAAATATTAGGAAGGTGACCGTAAAGGAGAAGAAGAGTTGCAAATCTTGCAAATCTCTTCTCTTTCTCTTCTCTCCTCTCAATTTAAGGCTGGTTAGCTTCTCATACTCTTGTGTTAAACAATCGTATTATAATATTTTTATCACCATCATTAATACAATGATATTTAGCCTCAATCCATCATTTTTGTCCGTCCCTTTTCTCTATAGGTTTTAGGAAATCTTATTCCTAAGATTTGGTCTCTTTCTAAGTCTCTTTCGGATTTAAACATGTAAGCAGATTTCTTTTTGTTTTATTTTTCTCACTAATGGTCCTTGAAATCTTTAGGGTGACATCATTTAACTTATTTTTTGACGGTCCGCGTTCTAATCGATTACGATTAGAATAGATATTGCTCATATTTGGATTCGTCTTCCGAGACTCCTTAAGAAAAATTAGAATGAGAAATATTCTTTTTATCTAATTTCTCTTCTTTATCGTCCCCTTAAAATACATCATTCATCTCTCAAATTTGAGAGAGGATGATTTGTTAGAATTTGTGTTAAAATCAATATTACTCTTTTCTTGAAATAAGATATTTGGATCGGTAATCAAAGTTGTTGCTTATGAAAACTTATCATGGATGATTTGGTCATAAGAGTGATCAATATCCTTGATGAGGGTAATAATGGCGATAAGACTCTTGACGTCAGCTGCCGTAGATGATGCATCGCGCCTCTATTGACCTGACAGCACCTGGTCAACACGGACCGGAACGTCGACCGAGACATATTAACATCCTGCTCAGGCTCGATCCTTCACGCTACGCCAACGTCGATGTCAGACGTTACTAGGAGTACGTTCTTGCTCCCTGCGAGCGGACACATCAGGCAACGGTAACCTTCATTATAAAAACCCTCGCGCTCCGAGGAAGAACGAGGACAACAAAAAAAAAAACCCCTTGCGACTATTCACTAATTTGATCGTCGGAGGGGTCGGGCCGAGCTCTCCCGACCCGACTTGTGTTCAGATGCGAAGACGGAGGCCTCCCACTAAATGCCCAGACGAGGAGCCCCTCTCGGAGGAAACGGTGACCCCTTCGCGATCGGACCACTACAATCGGTTTTCTGCAGTCTCAAGGGTCGTCCCTGGAAGATCCCCCATCATTCGGACCCGAACCAAATCGCGTCAACCCCGAGACCATGGCTTAAAGTTATTTACACTAACAATCCTCAACCCTCTATGGGTGAGAAGGTTTTATAGTTGAAAACGATTGAAGGATCTGACAATTGAACCTTGGATTAGAGTTCCTGACAATTGAACCTTGGATTAGAGTTTAACATCATTCGTCTCGACATAAAACAACTAGTGCAAAACACCAATAGTTTCTCGCTCATACGTCCGTCTCTCTAGCATTGAGATTGGAGTCATCTCAATCCATATGTCGTTTCAATAATGTTCTTAACATTATCATTGAATAATATAATAATCACATAAAACATGAAACCAAAACCAATTAATTAATTAATTAATTAATTACTCGAGTATCAAATCCAACTTCCATTTCATGGTTTATAGGGACCGGTAATTCACTCATTGGGTTTAACATCTAATTATATTAAATATTTTAACATAATTAAGTTTACCTGATAATTTATATTAAATATGAATTCAATTTTACCTTTAAAACCATCTAATGGAATATATGTACAGTGCGACTGTATCCAAGTATCCACCACCTATCGGTTGCGTATACATACGACACATCTAAAAAGTGTACACGTGTATTCAAAGCTATACGTTATGTATATGGAAGATGATATGCGTAAAAGCTACTCTCTATAATAGAAAAGCCAACACGAATAGTAGTCACAGCAGCTTCCGCCCACCGCTGGTGAGGTTAAAGCTTCGTCTTCATGGCGCACTCCTGGCTCTGCACGCTGAGGTCGGGAACGCCGATGACCACGTGGCAGTCGGACGTGGCCACCGCGTGGTGCTTTATGAAGCCCAGCAAGGTGACCCGACCCGGCATCCTTGTCTCCGCGTCGAACGCCACCGCCCCCGAGGCGGCGTCCGCCAGGAGGCTGCCTAGATCTGTCGCGAGCTGGTCCACCTCCACCTCCAGAGCAAGGCGGAGGAGCTCCGTCCCCCGCGCCGGGATCCGCCCGGGCTCCACCCTGGCTTTCCCGACCTCGGCCCCGCGGTAGAGGAGTTGAGTGTGGCCGCCGGAGGCGTGGGCGAAGGACGCGTAGTTGCGGTTGCGGACGCGCACCGCCAGGTCGAGGGTGATGTTGAACTCCACGCGAAGGGAGGACAGGCTGATGTTGGGGGAGACCCCCGAGACGGTGGTGGAGACGAGCTCCATCGTCGGGTCGCGGACCTTGAAGACGGTGAGGGCGAGGACGACGGCGGCGATGATGAGGAGGGCGAGGATAAGGAGGCAGAGAAGGCAGCAGAGCTTGCGTCGCCGCCGTCGGCGTTCCAGTTTATGGCGGGCGTCGGTGGGAGAGGGAAGGTGGCCGTTGTTCTCGCCGGAGACCTTCATGGCTCGAGTAGGATCGGGCGCGTGGAGTGGGAGGTATGGCGGGAGTTAATAGTGGTCGGGCGAATGGGGGGTGGGAGAGGAGCAATCTATGTGAGATGGGGGGCGGTGTGGTTGCATTAGTGACATGTATCTGCCAACAACCCTTGCAATAAACTCTTAGATACTGCTAGCAATAATAATTACAATGAATAATTAATAATCATCATAAGTTCTTTTAAAGAATATTTTTCTTTTTGCCTTTTCATTACTGAATAATTAAATCCCAGTTCAGAGTTTTCCATGGAGAAATTTTAATTAGAGAAAAAAAGATTTAGCTGTTCTTCCTATAGTTTATGATTGGAATCTTCTTGTTTTCCTTTTCCCAAAGAAAAGAAAAGAAAAGAAAACCATATTTATTTTATTGTCTTGATGATATAAAGACCATTTTTATTATGAAGGAAATCTAAGCTTCCTTCTACTTCCGCTCATCTTCCCAACTGAACTCGATCTTAATTTTCAGCACTAGCTTTGATTTTTGCAGCATATCATAAATGTGCATCAATATCATATTATCAAACCTTATTTGACTTTATTTGTCGGCCTCTTCTCGTCATGACAAAGATAAATTTACTTTACAATTTTGACCACATAGGAAAGCAAGACTTGTGTGTCGATGTCACGATTCTTTACGAGACAGTACGCAATGTGAAATATATTGCGAACACTACAAAAGTAGCATCGTAGTTGGAGTGGGTTTGTCAAAAGAAATGAGAATGGTAGCCAGGTGGTTGATGCCGCCATATCCATTAATTCGTCCAACATGGTAAATTTAGATGTCCCGACTAAAGAAAGGAACTCGATCAATAATCCATTGGGAAAAGAGAATCGAAGAGTATTTATGAGATCCTCCTTTATAGCATTCAATCACAAGATATCATTAGATGTTACATGTTACAAACTTAAGTTGATTTTATCTAAATTATATGGTATCTTCGTGTGTCCGTCCGTAAATGGTCAATCTCTTTCAAATCTTAAAAACATTTAACTCAAGATTCATAAGCAGTAATTTTAGCAAATACTTGATACGTAATATAAATTATAAACATGGACTTTATAAGCTCTCAGCAATCGCATAATAAAAAGTCTAAGATGATTCGTTGCGACTAAAAGTCCCCATAAGTACCAACATGACACTACTACAAAACAAGACAGCGAATTAACCCTAAACAATATCCTAAAAGTCAATCCAGTCATGTGTCACCAAGGTAGCTCTTGGGTGATATATTGGTTGATACTCTATACCACTCTACGAAGCTAGAAAACCTTCAAAATGACTGTCTAGATGGCCTATTTCTAAATAGTTTTATCTCTATATAACGATCATAAATAATCTATATTTATAAACCTAAAACGATCACCAAAGTCAATCAAGATGAGGCTACCAAGCCTAGTACAAGCCCTCTACATGCTGTGCGAACAAAATTGAAAAACATGGACATACATGAGCATTATATCAAATACGTCATTTATAATTTTATTTGTGACATTCTCCCTCACTTATTCCTTTGACGTTTATGTCGAAACCTTTGTGGGTGTTGTATCTCCTTACCTTTACTGAATATTCAATCTTTTGCTCTAATTGTAATGTACCTCTTGGTTCCCAATTACATTCCACCACTTTTATTGAGTAGTTGAACTTTCATATGTTATATTGCTTTAACTCGCTAATGACTCTAATTTTAGTGTAGGGTCAACTAAATTGTGTTGATCCTTGTTGGTTCCTGTAGATCATTTAGATGGAAAAAAAGACCTTCCTTGTTATGTATAAGTCTCTTAAATGTCTTATGACACTTAAATTAGATAGATGTCTATTGGAGCTTTAACGAATATTGCCTCGTCAATTTTGAAGCTTTTGGAGTTCTTTCTTTTGTAAAATTTATTCATTGATTTCTCTTCTACTTAGTTGTCACTTTCAAGTAAGTTCCTATCACTTCGCGTCATTCCTTTATAATAACTCGAATTATAACACTATGGTATATTCTTCAAGAGTACCTATCTTCATATCCTTTTGTCCTATACCAAGATCTTTTAACCTCAACCGTGCCTCCACAAGTTGAGTCAGCTTAATTCCTCTCTCAAATGCTTCTCCAAAATAAGGTGCATGTGCCTCAAAGCTCCTTCATTTTTAGCACTATGTAGAATGAGAGACCAATGGAACGACATGCTTCCACTCCTCTACAAAAGTTCATATCATTGACCTTTATCCAAAAAATACTTCGTGCCTCCATTCCAAGTTCTGTCATCTATGTCAACTCTATTTATATGGCTTATGTATTTCATTAAGTTCCACCTAAATTATTCCGCTCCTCAGATTGTATTGAGTTGATAGTAGCCCTCACACCCACCATTTCACAGGTCAGCCTTCTATTAAGTCTGATATTCATATTGGCTCTAAGTATGCCTTCATTTGGTGTTACTTTGGGTCGCTCCCTAACTTGATCTCGCAATGCGTCTACCAACGCATTGCCTCATGCAAGATCATGCAAGTTTTGTGAAGTTGTTGTTAAGGTACTCCTCCTCAACATGTGTAGTCTGTTACATATGATTCTCCCTTTAGAGGACTGTGACTTATCTTTCTTGGATATCTATCCTATTTAAGCAACTTTTCTCTTCACATCATTTCTTTTGAAAAGTTTGGAGACCACCATCCCCTTAGATTATTTCACTTCGCTAAACAAATTGTGTAATATTCTGCTCTACGAATACACTTGTTGGATTATGACTCTTGGCCAACATAGCCTTCATTGCACCTCTTAAGGTCTAGCAACATGCTGAACTTACTGCACACTTTAGCTTCCTACAAATGTATCCTTCATATACCGAAGAGAAAGTTTTAATACTCTATGGTGTCAAGTTACAGTTGCCTTAGAATGACCATGGACAACCCATCATCCACATATAAGCTGTTACATGAGTATCGAATTCTTCGAATTAGCAATTCCCATCACCTCTATGTGTTTTGCATAACTTTTTCAGTCGTTGAGCAACCTATCCCACCTTACATAGCCTTATCTTTTGCTAAGCATCTCACTTGCCTTTAACACTATCAAGTTTGATTATCAACATTGAGATGCAGCTCGAACTCAGCCATCCCAACCTTTTAGTTCTACGCATTCTTCCCAACTCGCTTGTCCTTGTGATGCCTCTCACACAAAGGGTTGGCCATCATCTAAATGCCAATCTCGGATACGTGCACCTCTGAGCAACTCTTTTCCCTACATCTCATGTCTGTTTCCCCCAAACGATCACACGTGCCGACTGCTCTCAACATAGTCTTATTAGGTCCTTCATATTTATATGCAAAATGTTTCTAAGTGTGCTTGTCTCACTTTGATATCATCTGTCATGAACTTAACTAATTTTATCTAAGTTGTACAATACTTTTACATGTCCATCCACAAAGGATCAACCTCTTCGAAACTTCTTATGGTCTCTTTAGGACCTACAAAAAAAAACATGAGTTAAAGAAAGTATTTAATTTAGGGTCCACAAGCAACAATCTCAACAAATACTTATATACAATATAAATTATAAACATAATCTTCATAAGCTCTCAATGATCATGCAACAAAAAATTCGAGATGATCCACCACAAGTGACATGATACTATTATGAAACAAGATAATGAATCAACCCTAGACAACACCCCAAAGACCTATCCAACCATATGCCACCCGAGTAGCTTCTGAGTACTGTATTGGTTGACACATTGTACCATTTTCTAAAGCTAAAAAATCCTTAAAATAATTGTTTGGATAATATGTTTCTGAACCATTTTACCTCTCTCTATATAATAACTTACATAACTTTCATTTACGAACCTAAAACAACTATTAAAATCAACCAAAATGAAACTGTCAAACTTATTATAAATTCTCTGCATATTATATATGAACAAAAATAAAAAAATAAATATACATAAGCATTATATCAAATAACTTACCAGACGAAGACCAATAAATAAGTTAGTTCTCTAAAAACGTTACATTAAATATTTCGTTTATAACATTCAATCACTAAAATATCATTGGATGTTATATCGGCGAGTATTAACTTACCAAAGGGTGACTGTGCATTCGGATGGATTTTAGGAGCTTGTATGCTAGTGTGCTTCGTATCCCCGCTGCGTTTTTTTAGCAACCAATATCAGTCCTTGTCGAGAGAAATTAACAGAATAAACATTACACAACGATAGGCATCGATCAATGCATTGCTCCACGACGAAAAAGTGTACAACAGATGTGATGACAGCACAAGTACTGAAGAACTCCTACTCTGACTTTAGAACGTCAGAATTGTAGTAGGCACTAAAATTGTGACTTGTCGAGGGAATCGAAATAGGGATGCTCCATTGCTGCTTTAGCTGATATCCGGTTGGATGGGTCATATTGAAGCATCTTCTGAAAGATATTTTGCACCAGGAAACAGCAACAATCATCAGTTGCAAAACATAGTTGTGGACAAGAAAATTATTTTAGGTAACTCAACACTATATCTTAACCAAGATATAATAAACTACCACAGGAGAGCATTTATGCAAATATCAGACTGTAATACCTCAGACATTAATTCTAAAAAAAATTCTAAATACTTGACCATACATCAAGTTTAAATGATCAGATCATATAAAATAATGAACAAATATCCCTACCTCAATAATCGTAAGTTGTTCTACTCGTCAAAAGGAGTAAAGGTTGCTATCAATCGGAGAAGGATGTGATATCAGAAATTTATTAAAGAAAAAGTGAAAATGACACTTTATATAGTTTTATATCTTGATCTAATAACATAAGTGAGAACTTCCACATTGGCATGACAAATTTATACACTTTTGTTGGGACTAATAATTTGAGAAAGCCAGATCCATATCTTAATAACAGGTGAAAACCCACAACAAAATCTACTGAATCAAATGAAGATTGCAACTTCACTCATCAACTTAGCCTGAATTAACAATCTAAATTCTGCCACAAGGCTTCCTAAATTAACTACAAAGTTAAGCTTTGATTTACCGATAAAAGGTCAACGCCTTCAGGTTCCAATGCCGGAACTGCACGTGCCAAGTTTTGAGGTTTCCACTGTGGATACTCATGCCAATCCCGCAGTAAGCCAACTCCAGGCCACTGTTCCTCAGTTGGAGTCCCTAAAAGCCTTCATGGGAGAATTTTATGTCAACTCTCAAGTGAAAATGGAATATGTAGCAGCAGGATATCGAACGCAAAATTCGGGCACTTCAACAGCTCTACTTTAAATATGCTTGGGGAAACATTATATATTGATCAATTGAGCAAATAGATCACAAATAGCGAAAAAAAAAAAAGGAGAGATCTCTACATATTTACTTGAGAAACGTTTTCAAACTTATTTTTACATGATAAAAAGGAAAAGGAAAAGAAAATGGGATTAACAATGAAAGTAATTCACATCTTTTGTTGCCAAGTAGCAGGCCGAGTTCTACAAAATATACAGAATGCAATATACATTTTGCAGAAGCCATGAGAATTTTATTATATCTCTTTTGGGAAAAGCTATTATGAATTATTATCTGATTCATTTCAGTCAAATGATTTCAAAATATCAAATCCTGTTGCATTTAAATTTCTCAACACATTATAAAATTATACAAGAATACAGGTCCGTATACAACCTGAATATGATATATACTTTTTGCAGAAGCCATGAGAATTTTATTGTATCTCTTTTGAGAAAAGCTATTATGAATTATTATCTGATTCATTTCAGTCGAACTATTTCAAAATATCAAATCCTGTTGCATTTAAATTTCTTAACACATTATAAAATTATACACGAATACAGGACCATATACAACCTGAATATGATAGCATAACAGTGTTTTCATAACCTGAATTTCTTTTTAACCTTGACAAGGAGGACCACACTTAAATCAGCTAAGAACTTGATAGGTAGGAAAACGAACCTGAAGATGTGAAGTAATTGCTGCAACTCCGAGTCACCAGGAAAAAGTAGTTGTCTTCGCACCATTTCAGCTGTGTCAACAAGAAAACTAAGAAATTAATAGCAGACCAGATGGCATATCCTCTTCTGCAATAGTTGGTTATAGGTATTCTGAACTGCTTTAACACATCCTCCAAAGAAGCTCAAGGGGGCAACCTTCTTCAACTGTATTAGATCCTGAAGAATGCTGTACCTTGGCAGATGAGGGACATTCACCTTGCTAAAATATCATCATAGAAGAATACATTAAACATTCATCAAGTGATGACTAGTCCAGTCTGAAGATTTGTCAGGTATCATAACAGACCTCAAAAGGGAATAAAAAGTGAAGAGCTGAACAGTGTCTCACAAGTTCAGAACAACAGTTGAATTCAACAGAATGAGAAGATGCATCTTAGAGAATCTACTTTAAGAGAAGACTAGACAATGGACCTAGTAGATATAGTACCTGGGAGAAGTGATTGTACCATAAATTTTGAACCCATTCATAAGCTAGAAAAAGAAAACCTTCAAGGGGCTGAAGCCAATGAAAATGAGGAACATATCCAAAAGAAGTGTAAGGAAAAAAGTAGAATAATACAAAAAAATTAAGGCAATGGATAACATGTGAAGACACTTGAGATCATAAATGGTTTTGGTCATAGTAGTTTGGCTTCTTGCCATTTTGTCATGCCTGAGACTAACTGCATGGCAAGAGAACCCACTTTATAACGAAAAGTCATAGCTAATAATTAAAACAAAATGAATTTAGCACATAAGACACACAAGGAAGGCGACAATACAAGACTGATGCAAATTTTGTGCCTCGTTTAACAACCAAATCAATGAGCAAACTTAGACTGCTATTCAAGAGTAATCTCATCAGAAATACATGGCAATTTCATTATCTGAAACTTGGTTCATTTTTAAAAATTGTATCACAAAGCAAACCAAAATAATGATTGTTAGTATACTAATTGACACCAAAACCAGTGCCAATATGTTAGTTAAGTTGTCAGTCGTGAAACCAATTTCTCCATCTAATACCAATTTCGGTAACCTATCAGTAAGGTAGGGTACCACTATCTTGGCGGTATACCAGTCTATACAACCTGGTATCATTGGACATAATACTATAGAAATAAAAATAAATTGTACTGTACTGACATCAAGATATATGTTTTGGACCTGAAAATTATTGAATGGTATGAACTGGTCCCTATGACCAGCATGGTCAAGATTCGTGACATTGATATTCATTATCTAGAGAGAGCATAAAATGACACTAAAGCATAAAAAAAAGAACATATTATGGATAATCAAGACAAAAATAATCATGGCACAAATTGTGTGGCATGTAATAATCAGAATACAATAAGTAGATTTGGGAACACACCAGTTCTTGTTAGTTCCATCAGATGAATGTTAAGATGATTTCGCCAGACCCACTGAACTTTGTGGATCAATTTGCCCAAAATGAATGTTAGGTCGGTGGATAAGTGCAAAAATGTTGGTCCAGAATTAAAATCAATTTTGTCTCCACTCATTTAAAATCCACCTAGCACATCTTCCAAAGTCTGTTTCACCCAAAAGTGGCCTAACTTTTGAATGGGAAACTTGCTATAAAATTTATCAAGCATTCACATGAACCTAAATTGTACTCCTGGAGGGGAGCACGTGATCATGTATGCAATAGACCAAACAATGATCCATCTGTCTAACTTGAACCTCTAGTAGATTCATTATGTATTAGGATGCTAGACCATGACATTAGTCAAGTATAAGAGTGTTTGTGTCTTCGTGTCATGTCTTGGGAGTCAATACGGCTTGGTCCAATCCTAATCGTGCGAGGGCATTCACGTGAGTGTCCGAGATGAGGATGGAAAGATGAGGTCGGGTCGGGGTTGGCATCATCATGGCCAACCCGAGGTGGGACTTCGAGTTCCCGCTTCAATGCCGCCTTCCTACACAAAAGGTCAACGTCAGGAAGGGGACTCTCAACTCGACCCCTCTGAAGCTTTAGTATCTGGGTCTAAGGGTGTTTTGAGTGTTCGAGGTCCTCCCCTAGCACTGGCCAAGGGGTCGACATTTATATCTATCACGGGGGTCTTCTATACTCAGCTCGTTAATGGCTGTTAATGCTTCGAGCAACTGATACGTATTCCTCGGACAGCGCGGGTCAACTTGTATGGTTCCATGCTGTGTGACGCCATCTTGTACGACATCGAGCGACATGGGCACGACCGCACATCACCGTGGTGCCTGCTGTGTCCCTTTGAGTTCGTACCATGCCCTTGCATCACGCCGACCGTGAGGTATCATGTCGACTCCTCCTCGATGGTGATGAGCATGGTGGTGGTTCTGAGGGGAGAGATGGAATCCCCCGTGAACCCAATGAGTGCCAAGGTTATCAGAGTGAGATCCTTTTTGGTTAGGTCGAGCTTCTGGAAAGCGTTGAGGTATAGCACGTCGGTGGAGCTCTCGATGTCTACCATCACCCTCTTCACTCGGGCATTGGCTATTCCGACTGAGATCACTAGGGCATCATCGTGGTCGGGGTACTCGGCTTCGCCCGCCTCGAAGGTGATCTCAGGCCCATCCCTCTGCTTGGGATGCTTCTCCACAATAGCTCGAGTGTAATATTTTTGTCCAGACATGCTGTCTCCCCCAGATGCTGGATCTCCAACGATGGCATCGATCTGCTTCTCAACTAGGCCGTGAGGGTGTGGAGAGGGCTCTCGGGGCTTCCTAAGGTTGCCCCTACTGATGAGCTCCTCGATCTAGTACTTTAGATCTTGACACTCCTCAGTGTCGTGGCTGTAGTCACAGTGGAACCTATAATATTTGGATCAGTCCCTAAACTTGTGCGGAGTCTTCAATGGGTTGGGCTCCCTTAAGAGCCCTTTCTCCCTAATTTGGAGGAAGATCGCCATTCTAGATAAGTTGGGAGGTGGCAAAGGGGGCCTTGGGAGTGATGACCCCAAGGATTGGCCTCGGGACTGCTTCACACGGGGCCTCTTGTGCAACTCCTCGTGCTTTCCTACCACCAATGCCTCAGCGGCAACATAATGGTTGGCTCGTTGGAGCAACTCGGGGATGGTTGCTAGTAGCCTCTCGGCTAGCTACCAAAAGAACCTCGAAGGCTGTAGGCCCATCATGAATGCCTGCATAACCAACGAGGGGTGGGTGTCTGGAACCCCTTGGATCTCGACAACGAAGCGGACGACAAAGAGGGAGAGGGATTCATCCTCCTTCTGCTTCAGCCAAAGGAGCATGGCTATGGACGGTTTGGGTCGCATGCTGGCTAGGAAGTGAAGCTCGAATTCTCTTGCAAGCTGGTCAAAAGACAAAACCGAGAATAGCCTCAATCAGTTGTGCCACGTCCAAGTCGGGCCTCAGAGGGTGATAGGGAACGCTAGACACATCAGGGAATCGGAAGGCTATGGCATGCTCCATCAAGTCAGAACCACCGTCATAGGCCTCCAACGTCGAGAGGTGAAATTTAAGGGGATAGGTTTGTCTTGAATTTCCTAGACAAAGGGGGATCTTACCAAAGTACTTTCCCCAAATTCTTCCTTGGACTTATGGAATTCTCTCTAGACCTCGTCCAGGTATCGATTTACCGACTGCAACTGGGTTTAGAATGAGTCGTCCGTCGAGTCGAACGACAGGGTGTCGAGCTCGAGGAAGGAGGGCCTGAGGCCTGCGCCTCGACTGAGCAAACCTGCTCCCAAGCCATGCACCTCAGCTATGACCCCTTGGCTCCCCTATGGGAGAGAGCACTGATAAGACCATTTAGTCCCACATTGGTTGAGTATGAGAAACAAGGGCTCATAAGTCCGTCGAGTCTCCCTTACCCTCAGAAGCGCCTTTTGGAGCTCAGGAGCTTCGAAAGAGCAAAACCATATAAGTACGTCCATCACCCAAAGCGAACAATTCCTCACGAGCTTACGGGCTGAACCAATAGTCGACCGACCAAATGGTCCCTTATCAGATTAGCGCTAGAAGGAGGGCCCGTGGCCTACACCTTAGCCGAGCAAACCTGCTCCTGAGCCATGCACTTTGGCTATGAGCCCTTGGCTCCCCTACGGGAGGGAGCACTGATAAGATCATTTAGTCCCATATTGGTTTAGGAGTATAGGAACCAAGGATTCATAAGTCCGTCG